TCACACACATGCACACCAATTATAATCCTTAAAAAAAAAAAAAAAAAAAAAAAAAAAAAAGTAAATAAATAAATAAATAAAAATTAAAAGGCTGCGGATGTACCTCAGTGTGAAGGACCTGGGTTCGATCCTCAGTACTGCCAAAAAAAATTTTTTTTTAATGGCCAAGCATATCACAAACCTACTAAGTCAGATCCCTGAAGGCATGGTAAGACCTGGGCATTGGTGTTTTTAAAGCTCCACAGAAATTCCAAGGTGGAGTCACAGCTGAGCAGCACCGCCATGGAGCTGTGAAGGCTTTCGGAATGCACTGAGCCACAGAGGCTGGTTTGTATGAACACTGCAAAACAGAAGCAGATGCTAATTTCAATAAATTGATGTGCTTGGGGAGCAAAAAAGGCTCAGGCACAGCCCTTTTAGGAGGTCAAAGCTACACTGTATTGACGGGCGTAGAGGCACGTGCCTGTAATCCCAGCACTCAGGAGGCTGAGGCAGGAAGATCACCCTGAGCTCGAGGCCAGCCTGGGTTATGTAAGTGAGTTCAAGGCCAGCTGAATTACATAGTGAGGCCCTGTCTTCTCCCGCGCAAAAAGCTACAATGTATTTTCTTGCCTGTTTGAAAGGCACCAAGGTTGGGGGTTCACCCAGCGGAGGCTGTGGCCTGTAACAAACATCCCAGCTCACACACTGGGACTACACGCTCTGTGCCCGGCACTTTGAAAGATTAGTTCCTGTAATCCTCACAACACCCGTTTAGTGGTATCACTGTGTCCATTCTACTCACATTCTCCTTATGGGGGATCTACTTACGTTCTGGTATTTTACTGTTTTGGGGGAACAGTGCCTTCCTATCTGCTGGCATGCCCCGTCTCTTAATAGGACCACCCCTGCCAGAGTCCAAAGGGAAGGCAGGAGCTACGGAGAAGTGGGGGAGAGCTGGGACCACCCCCAGAGGCCGTGTGTCCCTGGGGAGCTCATGAGCTCTGTGCTTCCTGTTTCCTCAGATGTGAAATGTGGACTCAGTTCTACCTCCGGGGCTCTGAGAGGGTGAGATGACGTAAAGTGGATATACAGTGCTTGTCCTGAGAGAGTCCTGGAAGGGCAACTGTGCTCCCTGTTCCCATCACCACTCCTATGATGAAGCAGGGATGGCCATGCAGACTCTTCTGCAACTTGGATGAAACTTACCCCCGTAGCATCCTCCTTCCCCGGGAGAGGCAGACAGCCCCTTCCCACGGGGGCTTGTGGCCAAGGTTCTGCATGGTTCTTGGGAGCTGAGATTCATGTGACTGCACCGACTTAATAGTACACGTCCACTTCTACCTTGTTGCTTCAGGAAAGGTCATTTGTTCTGCATTCCCCACCTTGAAATGACCGTCTTCCCGCAAGAGGCTGTGCGGCCCTTAGGGCGGTGGCCAAGGCGGGTGCTTGCTGCTGTCTGACCTGGGCCTCACACGGTGTCACACAGGTGTCTCCTGTGGTCAGCACAGTCCTCCCAGGGCATCTAGATGGAAACAGTTTCCAAAAGGACAATGAGTCCGGCCACAGGAACCAAAGGCCGGGCCGGCTGTGGTGTATGGAAGGACCCGGAGGCAGGTGCTTCACATGCGGATAACCCTCTCTGGGCTCCCCAGGGCACCGCCCCCTTAGAGGTTCCCCAGAACCCTGAATTACTGTCAGAAAGCCACACGGTGAGCGTGAGGTGAAAGCAGAGGGCACTGCGGGAGCTCGTGGGAACCTTCCCCGAGCAGCACAGAAACTGGAGGAGCCGTCCTTGCCCGAGAGACTGGCGATTAGAATCTGCACTTTCCCCTGGGGATATAGCTCAGGGGTGCAAGCGCCTGCCTGGCAAGCACAAGGTCCTGAGTTTGATTCCTGGTACCAAAAAGCATCTGCACATTCCCGCAGCATCTCTCTCCCTCCACGGACAGGACTGGGGCGAGGGAGCCTTGGTAGCCTTTCCTAGGCTGGTCAGTGCCCTCAGGATGCCAAGGCGTGTCCGGACACTCATGGCAGGGGGAAGTGGTGAGGTTACAGATCCCTGTTCACTTTGTCCCAGAAGATAATTATCTTCTAGTCACCCCGAACACACCTGGCAGGTTTTTACGAAGGCTGCACAGCACGAGCCTGCTTCTTCTCCCCTCTGCCTTCGCCAGGTGTGTTCCTTCCCCCGGCACTGACCTTCACTTGCAGTCCCACGGCTCCCTCTGCCCCAGCTTCCGTCCGCATCTCCGCCAGCACACCCAGCTCAGTGTCCGAACTCACTCACCGCCTCCACTCGCTACTGCCTCCCCAGACGTGGCCCCTTTGTCACTTAAGCCTCCCAAGCCCTGAGGCAGCCATTCCTTGGGTCTTCCTTACCTTCCCATTTCTTTACTTCCAATGCCTGATCAATTTAAGTCCTGTACAACTTTTCCATAACTATGTATATATAAACAATGCGTGTATACATGTACGTGTATATATAGCAGTGTATCAGACTGCCTGTTTATTGCAAGGGGTGGCATACTGTGATGTGTGCGAGCTGCAGTGGTGTGGAAAGGAACGGGTAAGTGGTGGCTCTGGCTCATGTGTTCTTCTGTTCACTCTTCACCCACACCTAGACGCTGGCCAGGGACAGAGCAGGGTCCGATCCATGAACAGCTGCAGTGGTTCCCTGGAAGAGAGGATCCGAGAGAAAGGAAGTGAAAACCTGTAGGCTGTGGGCCAAGTACAACCAGCCAAGCTTTACCAGAGGTAGTGGAAGGGTCACAAAGCAGCTTAGGGTCACACGAGTTGCCGGGACCTTAAATATTGCTGCCTTGGCTTCTTGAGGACAAGAGCTGTTTCTAGCTATTCTGTAGCTTGTGCTCTGCTCCTGAGTATGTTTTAGCCCCACCCCGCCTTCCACACTGCCCCAGCCCAGGTATGTCTTCTCAGGCTCAATGACAGCTTTCTGGGGACACCAGAGACCCTTCCCCACAGCCTGACCTACAGTGGAGGTCCAGATTTCTTGGCTGAGGCCCTCGACATGCCAAGCATCCTGTAAATGTTCCGCTGGAGATGGTCACAAATCAAGTCCCCCGGACTCCTACACCAGGGTGTACCATTCTGAGGAACACCTATAGGACTCGTATTCTGCAATGCCTTTGGTGACAGATATCCTTGCAGGTCTGACTGCCTTGGTTCTACCACGGACCCCATTCATTTTCTGTGCACCCCTAAAGATACCTACCTAGAATGCACCCCGTCTGTCCATGGCCTGCAAAACCTGTCACCTACAAAACAAACCCCAAGCTGCTTTACCCGGAAGCTATGGCCCCAAGGTAGCAGGCTGCCTCCACCTCCACCTTCATCGCCCACTTAAGCTTCACCTGTTTCCCTTAAGAACAAACTGCTTGGAATTGCTTGTCTGGCTTTGTTTAATCATCCGTGCTCTCATGGTTCAGCCTCCTTGGACTGCTCTGACCATTTGAGTTCTATGCATCCAGAAAGATTCCTGTCAAATATCACCGCCTTCCCAGAAAGCCTTTTCTGCCCCACTCTTCCTGCATGCCGGCTGGGTCAGTGTCCCTCTTGTGCGTGGTCCTGGCATGCTGGACATCGCTCTGTCCATGCCTGCTCCATGGTGCTAGCATCCAGCAGTGTGTGTAGGAGTTCACTGCCTCCACAAGGTGGAGGTCATTGCAGAGGGTCCCATCCTGCACCTTCACTTTTCAACTCCCACACCTAAGGCAGGTGCCCTTGAGCTCAGCGGCAAACTACAGCCCCCTCTGGGCAGCGCTTCTGCAAAGGCTTCATTCCCCGTGGTTTCCCTTCCCTCCAGTCACCTCTTCCAGACACCATATCCCACATTTGGGGTTCTTTGATATTCTAGCGCTCTCTCCTTAGTAAGTATGGGTGGTAAAATTACTTGTGTTTGGAGGCGTGATTAGGAATCAGGACTTTGGAGCTAGTCTGCCTACATCTGAGTCCTGACACCCTCCCAAAAGCTGTGTGATGACCTTGGGCCAGTTATTAATTTCCCTCTGCCTCTGTTCATCACCTATAAAACAGGGATAACGTCATGTGGTTGTTGCAAGGATGAAATGAGGGTGCACATGTTAACACCTGGAGTGCTCCTGGGCCCAACGTGAGAGCTACGTAGGGTTCACCTGTCTTCTCATAATTTTCAGAACACGGTCCCACACCCATAGGTCTCATTTTCCAATAGGACTTCATTTTGAACCTAACTTGAACTGTATCTGCAGAAACTGGGTCCAAATGAAGCCACACCCTGAGCTACTGAGTGGATGTGAACTTTTGGAGGACACTCTTCAGTCAGCAACAGTCATCAGACCAGAGAATCACCCAGGAACCAAGGACATTTCAGACATCTTGGGCCTGATATTACTGATGAAGGAAGATTAACAGGGTGAGAAGATGTCGTTCCACACGCCTCTTGTTACAGTTCCTCTTCCTTTGGGCCCATGCTCAAAATAGCTGCTGCCACTGACCAGGAAACTCTTCTGAGTCTGCTCAAGTCTCTTTGCTCATACATAGATTAAACCATTGACGGATCCTAACTTGGCATTCTATGGGGAGGTGAAAACTTCTCCAACATAGGAGGTAGGGCCTAGTTGGAAGAAGTAGGCCCCTCAATGCTATATTTTATTTCTGCTCTTTCCCATTTCTGGCCACCAAGAAGTGAATGAGAGTTTTACTCTACCACATGCTCCCCACCGTGATATTTTGCCTTCATCGTAGGTCCAGAAACAAGGCTGCCAAGTGACCATGGACTGATACCTCCAAAACCATGAACCGAAATAAATCTTTTCTCCTTTCAGCTGATTTGCTCAGGTATGTTGTCACAGCAACAGAAAGTAGACTTAAACAAGGTATCAGACATCACAGGATCAAAACATTGACAAAGCAGAGGAGAAGCTACATGAAACAATGCTGAAAAGGATTAAGAAACACTAAGTCCTGTATTTGTTCTTAATGCTATGGACCACAATAATGAATTTGCCTCTTTTCTCAGCTGTAAATTAGTCTGTAGGTTCTGTGAGGCTGGGGGGCTGAGGCTGTCACATTTACCAATGTCACTGCAATTCATCCTATAAGAGGCCCTTACTGAATCCACCTTCAGCGCAGGAATGCCCAGGTTTTATTGAATGCTGATCATGTGCTAGGCACAAAGTAAATGAAAACACTTCTTGGAAACAATATAGAACTGATTCAGAAATTGAGCGCCATAGAAATTTATTTATTTAAACCTCCACTAAGAATTTAAAACTGTGACAGGCACGCCTATGAAGGCAAAATTATATAGGAACCCTTGAGAACACCTTCACCGGGCACTCAGAGTCAGAGTCACTTCCTCGCACCCCTACTCCATCATTTTTAAGTCTGCAGTGTGGAGCAAGTTTCTTAGTTGCTCTGTGCCTCAGCTTCCTCATCTATAAAATGAGGATGATGTCAGTACCAATCCTCAGGCAGTGGGGGAATGAAATGACTCCATTTTTGTTAAGTGTTTAGAATAGTGTTCGGAAGAGGGTCTTGGCTGTGGGAGAGGACTGTATGCCGAGTGCAGGAACACAGTGGGGTTCAGTGATGGGCGCTGGCTGAACGAGTGAAGAGCTTCCAGGCTAGGAGCAGAGGTCAGGGAACTGAGGCTGATCCTGTTCTAGTTTAGTTTGTAGGGTGGGTGGGCACAGCAAAAGGAAGGAAATGGCCCTGATTGGACATTGCCGTGGGGCAGGCCAGGGCCCAGTCTTCCAGGTGGAAGGAAGTTCCCGGGAAGGCGGGGGCCACATCTGCCTGAGCAGGGTTCCCTGCTTTGCTGCCCTGAAGAATGGACCAGATCCCATGGGCTCCCCCGTAGGCCATTTCTCAGGAGTTATTCAGGGCTGCTCCTGGCCCTGGTGCCTCCCTATCACCAGTGACCCACAGGCGGGAGAAAAAACCCCTACCACGCATCACCCTGCACTGAGAATTCCCTTGAGGTGAGTGCAGTTATTCAGATGACTTCCCAGAGAGAAGACAGCAGCTTAGAGAGGCCCCATCTTGCCCAGGACCCTTCACCTAGAAGCTGCAGACTGGGAGGTGAATTCCAGTGGCCTTCTCTTCACCTCTGCATTGTGGCACCTCCCTCCCACGCTGCACAACTCTGAGTCTCAGCTCGCTTCTCTGTCGAGCTGAAAGGGGCAGTGGCTCCCCAGGCACCGGTCTGTGTGGAAATTAAAGGGCACAGCAGAGGCCAGGCCTGGCCCACAGTGAACATATCTTTGGTTCCCGCCGCAGCAGCCATGCCTCGCTCCAGGGGTGACAGTTGTCTCACGGGACTTTAGTCGGTCCCAAATCCTGCAGTACCCTACTCAAAATGCCCTGTGACCCCGAAAAGTTACCCCACTGGCGGGCCTGTTTTGGCCTTGGTAGCATGTTGCTGTAAAGTTTACTGGGCAGAATCATCGGCAGATTAAAGAACAGGGGAAGAACGGAGCCGGGCCAGCGCCTGCTTGTTCAGTTCACGCCTGAACAAGCCACAAGTGGGGAAGAGTTCTTTCCGACTCAGCTAAAATAGGAGAATTAGGAAGACTGTTTCACAGCAACTAAAAATGACAAACAGTTGAAGAATCTCGGGTCAGGTGGTCCAGGGAATCAACTGTGTTTATGTGAACCAGCTACCAGGGTGCGGCCCGTGTGCAAAACCACAGGTTCTCAGGGAATCAAGAGGTTCAAAACACTTCCGCTTTTAAAATTTTTCTCATATGTTAATGAGGAAAAAAGGTTAAATCTCGAAGCAGGGTTCCTTATATTGTGGTATCCCATAAGTGTTCCATCTAGCAAGGTTAACACACAAAACCGAGCCAGTAGAATTGTGCTGGTAACTCAGAGGGACCTGAGAAATAATTCATCAGACACCACAGCCAGTGTTGGTGAGGGAAGGGGGAAAAAACTTTTCCAAGGCCACTAAGGCACTCACCACAGGAAATGTCAGCAGCTAGAGTCTAAGTAGGTCTGTGTGACTGCGCACGCCCTCATGATCCAACCTCTGGAAGACGGAGGGGCACCTGCACGTCACTGTACCGGGCTGCAGTCCTGGAGTGGACCTGGAGTGGACCCTGGACTGCCCGAGGGAGGGAGCAGCCCAAGGGCCATGTATGGTACAGGACATGCTTGCGGCTGGGGCCACAATTATGTTCTTTTTTTGGAATTCTATTTATTTTTTTCATTTATTAGAAGATATAATAGTTGCTAAAAACATTACTGTAAAAATATTCCGTGATGGACTACTCGATCCTATGAGATTATCTTTTATTCCTTGTAGTAATCATGTTACTGGTGATATCTTATTATATACACACCTATGTATATGTATACATGTGTATTTTTTTTCTAACCTGGGGAACAATTTATGGCTAATGTGTTTTTTTTCCTTCATTGTGCAGACATGTTTCCTAACTTTTGTGAATTCAGGATCTCTCTGAAAATCTGATGAAAACCCTGGAGCTACACACACACACACACACACACACACACACACTCTCAACCTGCCCTAATCAGGGAATCTCCAAAATTCCAGACTGCAAGGCCATCCGTCCTAGGGAGGCTGTGGCGTCCAGGGTCTCCCTGCGCCCTGATTGCGTCCCGCCCTGCCTGGCACCTGGGACTCTGCCTCTGATGCAGGGACTTTGGCTGTGCCCCCGGCGGGGTGGCGGTGAGGGGCGTGGAGGACGCTGGGGGCGTGTCGGGGGCGAGGCACGCGGTCGAGGGGCGTGTCCAAGGCCGTGGCGCCGCTCACCTGCAGCGGACTGGGCGGGGTGGGGGCACATAGCTCCGCCCCCCCGCCCCGCCCGGCGGCGAAGTCCTAGTGCTGCAGCCCCCCGGCCAGCTCAGAGCCGAAGGCGGCGGGGCGTCGCAGATACGGGCCGCCGCTCCAGCATGAAGACACACTTCTGCATCCCCGTGTCCCAGCAGCGGCCCGACGCACTGGGGGGCCGCTACGTGGTGCGCCTGGGACCCGGGTCGGGCTGGACCGGGAGGAGACAGGTGACATGGGGCCCTGTCACACACACTGCTTACCCAGTCTTTGTGTCTGCAGCTGTACTCCGTGTACCTGGACGGGAGCCTCTTTTGCAGGGTGCGCTACAGCCAGCTGCACCGTTGGAATGAGCAGGTGAGGGGGCGGAGGCGGGGCCCAGCGGGTCCGCCCTGGCGCGGGTGCCCAAAGAGCTCCGGTTGTGTGACTCTTGCAGGACGCTGACTTTCCTGAGCCCTGGGTTCCTCACCGAAACTGGGCTGTAGTAAAGACTGATTGTGAACTGCATGACACACACACCTACAGGCGTGCGATGAGGGCACAGGTGTTTCTTCCAGCCCTTCCCACCAACCCATCGGGAGGGGCGCTGGGTCTGTCGTGGGCTTCGGTTCGGTGCCAGCTGCTCCCTCGGGGAGGGTTTCCCTTCAAAATAAGCAAATCGAGTCCAGGCTAAGGTGCAGCTTTGGGAATTTGTACATGGGTGTCTCCTCTCCTTTCTCTACAGAGTTCTGAGTTTACTGCCTTTAAAAAACGCATGTCTTTATTTTTTTGTTTTCAAATGGCTGCATTCGTAGGCTTCGAGTTCCTGGGAACCCCAGAAATAGATGATTTATCAAGTTAGGAGGCCATTTCTCACAGTGTCCCGTCCTGGGACAACTAGCAGGACACGGGATGGTGTGCTCTTTCAGACAGCCTCTGAGGTTCCGTGAATCTAATGCCAGATTTTGGCTGTCATCCGTTGGCAGACAACTGTTAGACTTTTCCACTGTTAAAAATGTCACCACCGTGAACCTTCTTGCTCTTGCATCGTAGTCCTTTGGAACATATCCATTTTGAAGGTATGATGAATGTATGTCTTTGGAGTTAACGAGGAAGATGGTTGTAATGTGATCACTAGCTGGTTTGCGTGATCACTAGCTTATTTTTGTATCGCTAGTGCCTGTGACCCAATGGGTCCTCAGGAATGATTGTCCAATGACTGAGTGAAAAAGGGTGTGGGCGCAGATTTCTGAAAGATGAGAAGCTTCTTTTGACCAAAACCCATGTGAGGAGTTGTGTGGGCTGAGGAGGCAGGGAGATCGGGAGAGAAAGGACCGGTGATTTAGACTTTGGGAGACATAGGTCAGATTGTCCTGTCCACCCTCATCTCTGTTCTGAGCTGTGAGGTGGGCGGGAGAAGGTAGCATCACAAGGTGCAAGGCAAGGCGCAGTGGGAGAGTGTGGGACAGCCTGACCGATGCTGGCTGCCTGGCTGCCTGGCTCGCCTCCGACCTTCAGTTTTCTCAGCAAGCAAGTAAATGATTGTGGGTGGCAACCTGCTAGGGTGCTTGGAACAAGCAGCTCAGTTTCTCTAAGCCTGGCACGTGGTACGTGCTTGGTAAATATCTGCTGATTCAGGGCTTCAAGAATTCCCAAGTCTGTCCCTCTGTAACCAACCGATTGAAGAAAATACTTCTTTCCAGGAAAAGTTGGAAGTGAAAATCAGTCGTAGCAGGTCCAGAAGCAGAGACATAAAGCGAGTAAACTTTTCTTCGCGATCCTCTTGTGTTTGGGAAGTCAGGAACAAGACATTCTCATTCTCTTCAGTGGGCTCTAACATCGAACTGCCACTGCTCACTGCCCTGGGTAGCAAACAAAATAGATACTAGTGAATAGGTTTGTGCAGACTTTTCAAAACCCTGAAGCAGAGATGGATTTGTTCGCTTTCCAACTTCTCTTCACCTTGTGCCTATCAGTTTTCTATTTTCTGCACAAACAGCTTCATTTTAAAGACACTATTAGATGTTAGGTGGCTATTGAATATTTATTCTTAATTTAAAACAGTTAACAATTAAGCAGTTCAGAGTGCCAAGCAGTTTACATGTAAATTACTTTGCATGTAATTTTTATAACAGCCCTAGGAGTTAGGATTATAATCAGCCCCATTAAGAAATGAAGAAACAGAGGCACAGTTTGCCCAGTGTTAAACTGATATAGCCAGGGTTTGACCTTCAGAACCTACTTTCACCCATTATATTATGTATTTTCTTTCTTTCTTTCTTTCTTTCTTTCTTTTTTTTTTTTTTTATCATTTTGAGACAGGGTCTCGCTATGCAGTTCAGGCTGGCCTTGAGGTCACTTTGTAGCCCTTGGTCTTGAACTTGCAACGACCCTCCTGCCTCAGCCTCCCAAGTGCTGGAGTTACAGGCATGCACCACCATACCCGGCCTACATTATGTGTTTTCTTACTCAACTGACAAAAATCCTACTGAGGATTAAAATAATTGAGTGTAATGATCAAGAAAAATTTAACTCACTTTCTCTATACTTTGGAATGGTATAATGTAATCCATTACATTCAGTGTGATGAATTTTAGTAAATATATACAATCACCACCACTATAATCAAGATAGAGGAAAATTCCCTCACTATAAAGTTCCCCTGTCCTTTTTGCCCTTGACCCTCCCCACCCGCCTCTGGCCCCTAAGCAACCATGACTCACTTTCTGTCATTAGAGTTATGGGCACAGAACTGTGACTTTCAGAAAAACAAACAACTTTCTAATGTAAGAATGTTCTATGCACTATTTGGTGCAGACTCAACTGGCATCCTGTATTTTGTCTGACCACCCTGGATCTGACTTTAAAAGATTGGGTGACTTTTCCCACTTCTCTCTCTGGTATTTATTCTTTCTGTTCCATGGGGAATTTGAAGTGGTTCCAAAATTCTTAATCTGACTCAATACAAAGCACCATAAAAAAGGAAACATCAGAAAGCAGCCCCCCTCCTTTGAAATGTAGTGTTTCCACTACATTTTCTTAAATATCTACACAGCTCCTGCTGTATGCTGTGTTAGTTACTTTTCTTATTGCTGAGGAAAAATACCCAACACCCAAAGTTAAAGAGGAAAGGTTTATTTAGCTCACAGTTTGTAGCGGTTTCAGTCGATAATCACCTGGCTCCAAGGCAGGGTGGCACATGGCAGACAGGAATCGAAGAGGAGAAACAGTTTGTGGCAGGCAGGAGATAGCAAAGTAACAAGGGAAGACCGCAGCTCTTTCCCCTTATATCTTACCCAGGCTACTCAGGGCGTATGCACTCACACCCTCCATCCTAGTGCCCTTGAGCCTAGTGGGGTTAGTGGGGACCCACACTCAGTGGTGTTGTCACTTGCGACCTTGGTCCCCGGTGAAGCTCGCTCGAGGGCTGGCAACAAGTCCTGCTGCTGCTGCTGCTGAGCGACACTTGTCCCCCTGCTGTGTGAACTGGCTGGCCTAGCTCCTTTCTGTACTTTTGGACACATAGAACCAGTTTGATCAATACCTCTGCCTTGGTGTGTACCCCTCTTCCTACTTGGATATAGAGAAATCTGGCCAAGGGTTGTGGACGAGTGTGTCTTGTAAAAGTGATATGGTCTCTGTGAACAGCGTGCTTGCCTCTTGCACTGCCAGCATCACGTGTGGCAATGGGGACAAGCCAGGGAAGATTGAGAGGCCACTGTAGCAGGAAGAGAGACTGTGCAAGCCCCTCACACTGCTTCCACACGCCTCCCTGCCAAGAGCTGACCCTGTCTGGATCCTCCCCTTTCCCTACTTAAAGCTACTCCTGTCAGGCTGGGCCATTCACTTCTCCTGCTTGGGAAGACTGTTCATTTTGTCCACCTATCAGGAACCCCACTTCTCTCAGGAAGTCCCCCTTAATTGCATGAAATGCCTTTCTCTGATTCTTGTGCCATTTTGTATTTAGATGCTACAGCCCAGTCTGCTTTGAGCTGTGGCCCTTTCTCTGGTGAGCCTGGACTTTGATTACAAGGAGGCCTGGAGAGGTGGGATGGATGAGTCAACATTAGAAATAAAGAGTGTAAGGGGCTGGGGATTTAGCTCAGCGGCAAAAGCTCCTGCCTGGCATGCGCAAGGTCGTGAGTTCGGTTCCCGGTACCGGAGAAAAACAAAACAAAACAAAGAAATAAAGAGTGTAGGAAGGACACAATGCATATTTTCAATTCTGCATGACCCGGGTTGTCACTACTCTGGGATAGGTATGGGGACTGTGAGTCCAGTAAGACAGGGAAAGGAGGTGACATTTCCAGCTGGTGTGTACAGGCCTGTTCATGTCAGAAGGCTGAACTGCATGAGGACATTGGTGGGGATTGTTCTGGGATTTAAAAAATACCTGAACATAGTCTTCCAGGAGAAAAAAAGTAAAATGCTTTATAATAAATAAATGAAATGATTTATAGTAAAGAAGCAGAAGAGTTTTGTTTTCCTTTTGCTTTTTAAAAATGTTTTATTGAGCTCAGCTCTAATACCAGGTGCTCCTCAGTGTGCTGGTGGTTTCAGTACTAAACTATGTGCTACCTGAGGCCCATGGCAAAGGTTCTGTGTTGGAAGAGTTGAACTTGGGGTTGATGATTGACTTTTGGCAAACTTCCCTGCTCAGTTTATAATATGTGTCTCTTTCCTGTAGTATTAGAGAAGGGAGGCAAAAGGTTCCTTAAGCCAGTTAGGAGCCTTTTTGCTTGTGATGAGTATCACAGCCTTAATCATTGCTGACTTTTCCCCAGCTCCTGGCCTCAGGGTCAGGGCTCCTGGAGATGTCCTCCTGTGGGTAGATGACACAGGCAGCCCTGCTGTCTCAAGCCTGCTGTGCTGAAAACTAATTTGGGAGCATCTGTGACATTTATGAACCCATGCCAAGGAAGACAATTGCCTTTTAAAGATCACTTAATCAGTTAATCAAGGAATAATTGCATGCAAAGAAGACAAATTTTTGCTTCTGTTGAATGGAATTAGCAGAGATGGAATACATAAATCCCCAGGTTGTTTGAGCAGCCCTGTCTGGGTTGGAGCTACATCTGGAGTGCCTTTTGACGGTGTCTGGTATGGCAGGAACATTTCCTCGAGCTTGAAAGAAGCACAGTTGTTGCTATAATATTTTATATTAGGGCAGAGGCGAGGTTAAAAAGGCCTACAGGAGTCAGGCAAGTAATTCGAATGAGAGGAGGGTCAGGTGAGAGGCTGTGGGCATGGGAAAAGTCAGAACATCTGTTTTTTCTTTTTTTTTTTTTAAGTAAACTGTATTTTTTTCAGGCGACAGTTTTGGTTTATAGAGAAGATAGTACAGAGAGTTCCCATGGGCTGTCTACCCAGTTTCCTGTATTATTAATGTTTTCATTAGTGTGGAATATTTGCTATAATGAGTGAATCAGTGTTGATGCACTATTATGAACTGCAGGGCATGATTTGTTGAGATTCGGTAGCCTTTGCCTAATTTCCTGTTTCTGTTTCAGGAGCCAAGTCAGGACCCCATATTACATTTAGTCATTATTCTCCTTAGACTCCTTTGACTCTGAGCCTGTCTCAGACTTTCCTACTCTTGGTGATATGTCCCTTCATTGGAATCTTACATCTTACCGCATGATGAGAGTGGAGGTGTGGGTTACAGAAGGGAAGACTTCAAAAGTAAAACGCCATTCTAATCACACCTTATCAAGGGTGACTGCTTCTGCATGGCTTATCAGGGCTGCTTGCCTGTGGCTCCGCTGAGCAGGTGTTCACCAGGTTTCTCCACTGTAAGGTGCCCCTGTTCCTTCTCTTTCCGTAGTGAATTCTGCGCAAGGAAGTCACTTAAAGAGCCCCCACACTGAGACAGCAGGGATTCATGCTTCCCATCCTGAGGAATGAGTGTCTGCATAAATAATTTGGAACTCTTCTGTGCAGAGTGGTCTCTTCCCTCCTATTCAGATATTCAATAATTTATACCTGTATGGGTGATGGGTATTTATACTTTGGGTTATTTGTCACTATTACTTTATTTTGCTGATCAGAGTGTCCTAGGCCTGAGGAAGCTCTTACAGTTTGCTCCTATGTCTCTGACATTCCCATTACTGATCTTTCCTTTCTTTTCTTACAGTTTGCTCCTATGTCTCTGACATTCCCATTGTTGATCTTTCCTTTCCTTTCCTTTCCTTTCCTTTCCTTCCTTTACCTTCCCTTCCCTTTCCTTCCCTTCCCTTCCCTTCCTTTCCCTTCTCTTCCTTTTCTTCCTCCTCCTTCTCCTCTTCTTCCTCCTCTTCCTTTTCCTTCTTCTTCTTCTTCTTCTTCTTCTTCTTCTTCTTCTTCTGCTTCTGCTTCTTCTTCCTCCTCCTCCTCCTCCTTCACCTGTGACTGTCCCCCTCCTCCTTCTTCTCCTTCTTCTCCTTCTTCTCCTTCTCTTCCTCCTCTTCCTCCTCCTTCTTCTTTTTAGTGCTTTCTTACTTTCTGATGGTACAAGATTCTGTGGGCTCATCTTGTGCATTTCCTATTTCAATCCTAGAATCACCCATTTCTCCATGGATCCCTAGTTGCTTTTATTGGAGAATGGCATGAGAAACCAGGATCAGATGCTAGATGTGTGCATTGGGATGTGTGCATTGGTGTTATGAATGAAGATGCTATAACATTCACAGGCAGGTTTTGTGTAGACAGAGTTTTCAGATCAGCGGGGTAAATACTTAGAAATGTGATTGCTGGATTCTAGGCCCTCTTCCCTGCAAATCAAGGACATAGAGGTGTTACAGGCGTAAGTATGGCCTTAGAGCATGTATATAGGCTTGTTCTATATGAATCCATTTTTGTCTACAGTAATGCAAATGTGCGTTCATACTAATGCATCCAACTTTGGTGCCTTACCTCGTGGAGGCTCTGGCCTCCTCTTACCTATAAACTCCCACAACCTCAAAAAGAAACTTGACTCCCACCATCTGCCATTCATTCACTCATTTGATTCTATATGCACTCCTAGCGGTAGTAGAATTGTTAAACCAAATTCCCACGGGAAACCACTTTATCATCTCGGCTGCAGTGCTGATGTACCGTTAGATGCTAGGCCATTCGTTTCACAGACTCCACTCAGTTCCAGTTACTGAAGCTGGCACAGTTCCTCCCTCATCCCTTTCAGTGAGATTGTTTTATACATTTATAACATATGTAGATTGCTTTGTCACATGTTGTATTCCATTCTGGGTTACTCCCAACTTCCTAAGTGATTATTAAAAGTATTTGCATGTTAACCTTGTTGTAAAGTTCAATGGGTTTTGACAAATGCATAGTGTCCACAATTATAGCATCATGTATAATAGCTATGTTGCCCTAAGAAAATTTTATCTGCTTCATCTGTTCAGTATCCTCTTACCCCAAGTCCTTGGTGACTATTGATCTTTTTACTTTCTATATTAATTGCCTTTTCCAGAATGTCGTATAACTAAAACCATATAGTACACAGCTTTTCTAGACTGCCTTCTTTCACTTAGCAATATATATTTAAGGTTCATCTAGGTCTTTTTGTGGCTTGATAATTTATTCTTTTTTATTACTGAATAATATTCTCTAATATGGGTACATCACATTTTGTTTATCTGTTCATCTACTGAAGGACATCTTTGTTCCTTTCAGTTTTGGAGGGTTATGAATAAAGATGCTATAACATTCACAGGCAGGTTTTTGTGTTTTTAAGTCAGCTGGGTAAAGACTTAGAAAAGTGATTTCTGGATTATATAGTAAGAATATGTTTGAATTTGTAAGAAATTGCAACACTGTTTTCTAAAGTGGCTGTAATATTTTACATTTTTTCTGGGACATAAGTTGTACGTGTTTAAAAGCACAAAAATAAATGCTAACACAATAAATGCTAAAATCTTCTAAAAAATCAAATGACAACTAAACAAAATGTGTCAGGGAGCTAGATTTTGAAGGTAGACAGACATTTAATAACTTTTCTAGATGTTAGACAAACACTGTTCAGCAGAACTTTCTATGCTGATGGCTCAATAGCCATTAGCCATGTTTCAAGTGACTACTGAGCAATAGAAAAGTGGCTAGTACAATTGAGAAACTGAATTTTAAAAGTTTACTTTAAGTAATTTATGTTTTAAATTTACTCACAGGTAGTTAGTGCCCACCATATTGGATTACCATTCTAGGCTGTCAGAATGATTTTGGTTTTTACTTGAGTGAGACAGAAAGTCACAGAGGATTTGGAGCAGGATGGTACAGTGATCTGATTTAGTGTTTGATGAAGTGTCACTGTAGGTGCTATGTTAAGAAAAGACTGAAGAAGGGAAGGGAAGAAGCAGGGGCACCTTTGGAGAGCTAGGGCAGTATCTCCTGCACAGATGACCAAGGCTGGGACCTGCAAGATGACACTGTGGTGGAGAGAAGGGGTCAGGTTCTTAATGTATTTTGAGGTCAGGGTCTATGTGAAGTAAATTTACCAGAAATGCACTATAAATGTGACAAAGGAAATTAAAAACTAAACTTAAATTCTTGTCTGTCTGCAGCTTCATTTCACAGTGGTCTGCTTTTCTTTTATTTAACCCACAGACTATGGTAATACTAAGATTTCAGCCCTCCTGCTCCAGGGGTACCATGTTAATGCTTGACTGGGTTTCTGACCCATTTCTTTTCCCTTGCTTTTTTCTTTGTGTGTGTGTGAGACAAGGTCTTGCTATTTAGGTAAGCCTGGCCTTGAACTCTATGTAGCCCAGCCTGGCTTTGAATTCATGACAGTCCTCTTGCCTCAGCCTCCCTAGCACTGGGATTGCAGGTGTGCATAACCACACCTAGCTTCTTTTGCTGTAAAGAGCTTGATGTTGTTTCACTTTCAAGCTGCCACTGCAAGAATAGGGCTGAAATTGAGAAAACACATTTTTGGATCTTACCTTAAATAATTTTTATGTACCTTCCATAACATTTATTACCACCATGCTTTGGGTGCTGGGTGGGTTGGTGAGAAGGAAGTGTTTCCCTTGGGATTACATGCCAGTCTTACAGGAATTCCAGAACCAGCATTGTCCAATGGAAATACCATATAAGCCACATATATAATTTAAAATTCTTTGGTAGCCACATTAAAAGGGTTAAAAAGAAATAGGTGGAATTCAAGGATAGCTGGGATAATTGTACTGCTGATGTCTTATTGAAAGGAACAGTTAATGGTTAATTGTTTTTTCTTGAGCAATTTTGCATGCTTATATCTGGTAATCTGAACAATTAATTTGAAGACAACAATATGCAATATAACAACCATTCTCAAATTCCTACCATCTTGTTTAGAGAAGCTCTGTATCACTTCTAATTTTTTTATTACTTTTTATTCTCTTTAATTGTTTGGTCAATCTTCCATTCTTACATCTGGTAATCTGAGCAACTTCACTGAAGATAACAATATGTGATATAACAACCATTGTTAATCCCAATCATTTTGTTTTGAAATCCTGTGTCATTTTTATTGTTTTTGTCCATTATTTTGTTACTGTTTTTTATTCTCTTTAAAATAAAAAAAAATAGGTAGAATTAATGTTAATACTATATTTAATGTAATATATCCAAAGTATTGCCATTTCAATGTTTAATCACTATAAAAGTTATCAGAGATATTTTGCATTCTTTTCTTTGAACTACATCTTTGAAATCAGGACTATATTTTGCAGCACGTCACAATGCGGACTAGCCGGGTTTTGAGTGTTGGTAGTGACAGAGGAGTGATGGTTACGGAATTAGGTAACACAGTGATAAATATGTGTCAAGTTCAGATTTGGTGAAGGTGGGGCTCTGACTATAATTGTTGATATCACAGATATTGTTAAGGAACAAATTAAGGAAACGTGGTGTGAGCTGTACGTAGTCTGGTAAACAAATGAAAAATCAAAACATATTCCAACTCGACCAAAATCAGGCTGGAGTCATCAGTCTGTGACACGTCTCACAGCGTATTTAGAGCATACACTGAGATGAATTCCTCCTTAAAAACATCAAGTTATCCTCTTTTCCTTTTTTTGGCCACCATGAAGGGTTTGAAATAGAGTACTAAGATTTGCTGTAAGAGGAGGCTTTCGTATCTTAGCCTCAGGTTAGAGCCTTGCTTGCCTTACCTGTGTTTTCTGCATCTTCCAGCTCAGGCGGGTCTTTGGAAACTGCCTGCCACCCTTTCCACCGAAGTATTACCTGGCGATGACCACATCTATGGCTGACAAGAGGAGGGACCAGTTGGAACAATATTTGCAAGATGGTATGTATTTGGATTATTTTTTACAGATTTATTGAAATAGAACTTATACATCACAAAATTCATCCATCAAAGGTTCATAATCCAGTGGTTTTTAAAGATACCTGTCTAAAAGTCCAACTGTCATTCATGGTAAAAATGTTACAGAAAATCGGAATAGATGGTCTTTATCTCAATCTGATAAAAGTCATCTATGGCAAACCAACAACCATCATTCTAAATGGATAAAAACTGAAAGCTTTTATTCTAAAATCAGGAAAAAGACAGGGATGTCCATTGTCACCACTCCTATTCAACATAGTTCTGGAAACACTAGATGAGCAATTAGACAAGAGAGAGAAATAAAAGGAATAAGGATAGGAAAGAAAGAAGTTAAATTATCATTATTCATAGATGACATGATACTCTACATAGAAGACCCCAAAAACTCCACTAAAAGGCTTATGGATTTAATAACCAAATTCAGTAGCATAGCTGGATACAAAGTCAGTACTCAAAAATCAACAGCATTCCTGTACACAAACAACAAACTCAGAGAGAAATTAAGGAAACCACACTCATCATGATAGCATCCAAAAAAAAGAAATACTTAGGAATTAATCTAACAAAGGAAGTAAAAGATCTGTACATTGAAAATTACAGTACTCTGAAAAAAGAGATTGAAGAGGATATCAGAAAATGGAAAGATATCTCTTGCTCATGGATAGGAAGAATTAACATAGTGAAAATGGTCATACTCCCAAAATTGTTAATGCAATTCCTATCAAAATACCATTAACATACCTCACAGAACTAGAGAAAACAATTCTAAAATTCATTTGGAACAGGAAGAGACCTAAAATATCAAAGGCAATCCTGGGCCACAAAGGCAAGACAGGAAGCATCACAATCCCTGACTTGAAATTATACTACAAAGCTACTGTGATAAAATCAGCATGGTACTGGCAAAAAACAGGACCACTGGAACAGATCAGAAGATGCAAGCACCACTACAAACACACTCAGCCACCTTGTCTTTGACAAAAGGGCCAAACATGTTCACTGGAAGAAAAATATCCTCTTTAATAAATGGTGCTGGAAAAACTGGCTCTCTACATGCTGAAGACTAAAATCAGACCCATGTCTATCACCATGCACTAAACTAAAGTCAAAGTGGATCAAAGATCTAAATATTAAAACAGAAATACTAAATCTACTGGAAGAGAAAGTAGGTAGAAATCTTGAAGGGATAGGTGTAGGTAGAAAGTTCATGAACAAAATCCAGACTGCATGGGAAATACTTCAAAGAATCAATAACTGGGATCTCATCTTATTAAAAAGATGCACAGCAAAAGGAATCACCAACAGAGTGAAAAGACAATCCACAGAACAGTCTGTTTATACAATAGAGTACTACTCAACCATAAAGAAGAATAAACTTGAGACTTTTATAGGTAAATGGATGCACCTTGAGGCCATACTTATAAGTGAAATAAACCAAACTCACATTGTATTATCTCCCTAGTGTGAGAAACTGAAAGAGTAAATAAGGTCTAAGATGATATTGTGAAATGGGAAGAAATTGTTCAAAAGGTAAAAGGTACTAGGATGGGTGAAAGGGGAAAGGACAATAGAGAAAAGGGATAAAAAGAGCAAGTTAGTTATACTATTAGTGTCTCTTAGTTCATTAAAAAGGAAGGTTTATACTAATATCATTTGGAGAAATTTTTATGTCCATATCTTGCACCCTGAGCACTGCTTTAAAGATAACACATGTAATGTATTAACTATTGTTATTCTCCTATTATTTTGTATTTTGTGTTACCTTTTTCCCATAAAATAAAAAGATACCTGTTTAATCATGCACCCATCATAATTAGCTTTATTTTATTTTATTTTATTTTATTTTATTTTATTTGAGATAGGTCTCATTCTGTAGTCCAGGCTGGCCTTGAACTTGCTATGTACCCCAGGCTGGTCTCAAACTCACAGCAATCCTCCTGCCCCAGCATCCCAAATGTTGGGATTGCAGGCATGCACCACCACACCTAGTTATTCGTAATTAGCTTTAGAATATTGTTGTCACCCAAGAAGGAGCCTCATGCCCAGTACCAGTCTCTCCCTGTGCTCCCTACAACTGGCCCTGGTCTCCATTCCTCTAATCTGTCTCTGTAGATTTGCTTGTTCTAGACATTTCATATGTGTGGAGTCATCTGTATTGGGTTTAAAACATGCTATATGTTTACATGCACTCTCTGGGTTAAGACAGAACGGAGACAGGAGCTGAGCCACGTATGGGAAAGCTCTCTGGAGACAGCAGATCTGTTTGTCAGCAGCAGCGGTGACACCCCACTTCCGTCCTTACAGAGCCGTGCTGAGCACCACAGGACTGCAGTGACACTGAGGCTGCTCTCCCCCACTGCCGAGGCCTGCAAATGCTTCGCATAGCAGGGTGGGAGGCAGTAAATTTGGAATTAAAATATTTAAAGCTTTTAAAACTAGAAATTCTTCTGTGCACATAATTGTTTGAAAATACAAACTATGCAAAAGAATATACAATGAAAAATAAGTCTCCCTCTCCGCCCAAATGCCCAGCTCTCTAGACGTGAGCACTATTCCTAGTGTCTTGTGTATTTCCCAAAAGTTAGCTATTTGTGAATGTCCTACTATGGGGATTGTTGTTTTTTTTTTTTTTAAATAGGGTCTCACTGTTTAGTTGGGCTGGCCTTGAACTCATTATGTAGCCCAGGCTGGCCTCAAACTCATAGCAATAGTTCTGCTTCAGTGTCCTGAGTGCTGGGATTAGAGGGATGTGCTACCATGCCCAGTTTATGGAGATTTATTTTTAATTCAACACAAATTGAAGTTAAATTTATACACTTTTCTGTACCTGATTTTAAACTTTTTATTCTGAAAGTCTGATTTACAGAAAAAGTTAAAAAATAGTACGAAGAATTTCTGTATATTCTTTGCCCAGGTTTCCCATTCTTAACATTTTCCTTTTGTTTTGTTCTTCGCCCGTGTATGTGTGTATGATATGAATGTGTATATGTGTCTTTTAAAGTGCTTGAGTGTGGTGTTCGTTTTTTTATTATGTGTTATGACTACTATTATTATTTGTTATTTTCAAATACTTCTGCATGTCTTTCCTAAGATCAAGCATACTTCTATATACCCATAGTATAGTTATCAAAATTAGGAAATCAACATCTGTATAATAATGTGTAGAGACCTCATTTATTTATTTATCATTAACTATTGGTACATTTCAGTTATACACAGTGATCACATTCGTCATGCAGAATTTATACCGGTATGTGGTAAATCTTGATCTTCTTTTATTCTTCTTTCCTTCTTCTCCCTTCAACCTTTCTTTCTCTCCTTATTTACAAAACTTTATTTCCAATTTTTCTTCTATTCTTTTTTTCCCTTTTCCCTTTCTTCTTTCCCTCCTCCCTAGAGACCTTATTTTAACTTCACCAAATATCACACTAATGTCCTTCATAACTAAAGTAAAAAGCTTATTCTTTTGTATGATAACTTTCTTCTCTTAAAATGTGCATCTGAGAGGTCATTCTACATCAGCAATTGTAGATTTCCCTTATTGCTTTTCATGACTGGACATTTTTCTTAGACCCAGTCAAGTTTGTAGAAGCCATTGATTTCCTATTCTTTTTTTTGTAATGGAACCTAAATCTCCTTTTAGATCTGTTGGACGAGCCCTTTCAAACTCAAAATGTGAGCTTTTTTCAATCTCTATTCTCTTTTAGTTTATTTTCTTGTGTCTTAGCAAAATACACCCTTATACCTGGCCCTTTTGCAAATAATCACGGTGCTTAAGGGATCACTGTCCCGGCCTGGTGGTTATCAGTGTCATCAGGGTGTCTGGTGTATCCTCTTTGACGAGTCAGTGGGGAGACAGTGCTACTTCATGCCATGACTAAGAGCTTGGGCTCCAGAGTCAGACCTGGCTGTGTGAGGTTGGGCGAGATACTTACGTCCACCAAGTCTCCGTATCATTATCCGCGAAATACCGGTAATAGTTCCCTCAGGTTTACTATGAAAATTAAATGAGCTAAAATATACAAAGTGCTTGGCCCAGTACCTGGTACTTGGTAGTCACATAGCAAGTACTAGTTGGTTGAATGCTTCTGTCAATAGCTTTGCCATCCCTAAGAATCCATGCTAAGGAACATAAAGTTATGTGGCACATCTAGTCCAGAAAATAAGGCAAGCACTCTCCCACCCCCAACTCTCCCCTGAAGCTACCACCCAGAAGAGAGGAAATGATTTTCACAAAAGTCTGTCATTTTTATTTATTTGTTTTGTTTTGTTTTGTTGAGACAAAGTCTTGCTATGAAGTTCAGGCTGGCCTTGAACTCAAAGGAATCCTCCTGCTTCAGATCCTGAGGGCTGGGATTACGGCCTGGCAAAAGTCTGCATGCACCACCATGCCTGGCAAAAGTCTCTCTTGTTACCAGAACTCCCTCTTTTAGTTTATTTGGGAAAGTTGGCCTTGTTTAGAAAGGCATACCCTATAATCAAGTCAGACAGTGCTAGTTTTGAATGCTGGTAGAGATTATCTGATGAAATCAGTAAAACAACAATGAAAGGAAAAGAAGTTTAAGAGCAGTTTGGTGAGGATGCCAAGTGCAGGGTCCAGGCAGATTAGGACGGGAGATAAGCCAGGAGGGAGAAGGCGGAGCCATGGGGTCCCCTTTCTCAGGAGGGTGCCTGCCGGACTGCTGTGACCACAGCACCTGGCCCCTGCTGTCTGGAGTTCTGACGGGAGGGGAGCAGTACTTTTGTGAGAATGTTACTATGTTTTGCAATGCTGGAAATTGAACCCCGGGCCTCAGGGATGTTAGGCAATGGCTGTACCACTGACCTATGTCCTCAGCTGTTTTCTATTTTTTAATTTTGAGACAAGGTCTCCCTAAATTGCCCAGGTTGGCCTCAAACTTGCAGTCTTCCTGCCCAGCCTTTCAAGTAGCTGGAATTACAGGCATGTGCCATCACACCTGGCTAAATGAAGCACTTTGAATCTCTCTGTCTGCCTTGTCACTTTTGAGGTATTCTCTCAAGAGCTCTCATCAGTCAAAGAGAAAGAGGTGTTCTCAACGGGTGTTTGTGGTTGGTTTTAAATTTTTCAAATGACCATGTGTCTCACTAAACAATCTGGACCCAACCCTTAAGATCTTCTTGTTTCTTCATATTAACTGCAGGTTCATCCCAGTAGGGCAGTAAGACAGGTTTTGGGCAGTAAGACAGGTATTGAGCAGTATAGGTGTGTATGAATGAGGCAAGACTCCTGGAACACTGTCACCTTGAATTGTCATGATGGGGGGTCATGTTGGGTCAACATTCGTTAAAGACAAGCAAGCTTTGCAAATTTTCCTTTGAGAGGTCACAAGCTCTGTCTTCCCCAGGGAAGCCAAGGAGCCCTGGCAGGTGTGGAGGTCCCCCTGGATCACAAAGCAGTAAAAAACAAGGCTCAGCCTGGCCTGTGCTGACCCTGCTCGCTGTCTATGTTTTTCAGTAACTGCAGACCCAAACGTGTTACGAAGTGATGTCTTCGTCGAGTTTGTAAAGCTGGCACAGCTGGTAAGCTTGCTCTTCTTTCCTGAGGCCATTACTGCTCTGTGGAACATGGATCCTTGTTGATGTGAACATGCACAGGTGTGCTTTAGCCTTCAGCCCAACAGAGCCTGCACTCTGGGAAAAGAGATTCATTTAGAATAGATTTAAGGATGGCTTCCATTTTGGAAGGTTAGTCTCTTGATGAAAAATGAAATGTGGCATTTGACTGTTGGTTCATTTTTTTAAAAAGCCAAGACTTTTTCTTTTTTTTTTTTTTTCCAGTACTGGGGATTGAACTCACAAGCTTGTGCTTGCCGGGCAGGTGCTGTGCCACTGAGCTAAATCCCCAGCCTCCAAAAAGCAGAGACTTTTTCTGTAGCCTAAGTATTGTCCATCTCGAAACTGGCCCCTAAGAAGACAGCCTTAGAATGTAGAGAAAGAGAAGGCGTTCCTGGAATCATTAAGGGATCTCCTCCTGATCTGAGAGCCCAGCTCTGCAGCTGAGACTTCCAAGGGTGCCGTGGTGTCAACAACAGGACAGCGGGCCTCAGGGGCTATCACAGTACTTGTACATTCTCTCCTCCTAACTTTACTGTAAATGAAGAAAATTCAGCCAGGACATGAGCAACTCCCTTTCCTTGGGCAGCCTAAAGAACCACTGGCCACTTGGCCTCTAGGCTGAAACTTGGCTAAGTCGATTTATTTAGCACATCTATCATTGCAGTTGTACATACGGAAATATTTTATGCCTGCATATCTGAGCTTAACTAGGCAGAAAAGCTCTGGAGGGATTGAAGGTGTATAATAATGTGCTACTGAATTGGACTGCTAGGGGAGGGAGGAGCAAGGCCTTGAAAGAGCAAATTTCATCCAGATAGGAGTCCCAGTGGGTTGATAGGTTTGTGATTTCTCAACCTGGGAAATGGCTCTAGAGCCTTCCATCGTATAGTGGTGTTTAGTTTTACACCCTCGTGAGGGCCTAAATATACACATATTTTCTTTTTCTTGTTGAAGTGAGGAAGGTGGTAAAATTCAAACAGCACCAAAGTATGTATAATAGAAAGTGACTTTGCCTGCCCCATAGTTCCCCTTCTGAAGACAATTGTTATTTATGACTCAATGCATGTGCTCTTTCTACACATTTCCATACCTTCATACGCCCATCCATTTTACGAATAAGCGCATACTGGGCATACTTTGTGTCAGTTAGGGTTCTCTAGAGGAACAGAAGCAATAGAAAATATAGGTATAATTATGCAAGGGGATTTATCGGGTAGGCTCCCAAGCTCAGAGGTGGGAGAATATACCTCAGCTGGCGGGCACTGATGCTCTGAAAGTGCTAGTAGCCGTTCAGTTTAAGAAGATGAAAGCCTCAAAACAAACAGGACCAAGGGTGCAGCACCAGTTCGAGGTGAAAGGCCTGGAAGCTCACCGGAGAGTGGCCGTGGGAGTCGTTTAGAAGGGCTGAAGAAAACTGAGACCTAGAGGATGACGTCCATAGACAACAGCAGCAAAGGGCGTGCCCACTCAGGAAGAGGAGAGCTCTTCAAGACAGGCTCACTTCTCCATCTTTACTGTTTTATTCCATCATCCGGGCTATAGGCCTACGTGTCAGTCATCCACAGATACACCCAGAACTACACTTTCCTAATCGGCTAGGTATTTCTTAATCCATCCAAGTCAACATAGCGTGATTAATGATCACATTCTTGCACCTTGCTTTTTTAAAACTTAGCCTTGTAGATGATTACATATCTATACCTATAAGGATAAGTTTGGCTGTAGTTCTTTAGGGCCTACATTACCGATTTTGCTTTCAATGATTTTCAAAAATCATTCATGAACTGTGAGTGTTGTGGAGCTTTGTTTTGTCTGTCTTCTTTTTCTGATAATTTGAATGTTTTTACCTTAATATTTTGCCTTTATGGCTTTATACAAAAGCCTTCTGCTCTCAGCTGTGTTTTGCAGTATCTGTTCTCCCTTCTTCTGATGATGTTTTCATTTTTGTGATGCTTTTACTTTTCCATTTTCAGCTCTTTGTCTCTGAGCTGTTTCTCCAGAGTGGCATATTTTTATCAATACATCCATCAGTTTCATCAGCTTAGTGGTGTAACTTTTCAGGTACATATCTTTTTTTTTTTTTTTTTGCCTATAATCAGTCATTGTTCTTCCCTCCTATCTTGCAGTATTTTTGTGCAGGTCCCTTGAGGTCCTCTGCAGGCCACTGTTGCCCTGACAAAGGGCCACTCCTCATGTGCCAGCTGGGTGCTGATGCCCACTGTTGGGAAGGGGCTCAGATTTTGTCCTTGGTGTCTGTCTGTTGTCTTTCTGCATTTTGCTGCTGGTTTGTGAGACTGTTCTCACGAATATTCTTCTTTCAGGCCAGAGCAGTCTGTCTAACCACTCCTTATATCATGATGTAGCATTTTAAATCCTTTCATTGGCTCACATCAGCAGCCCTGGAGGTGGCTTAGTGGTCAGGGGTTCAGGCTTAGGAGTGGGATGGCCTAGGTTCAAATCTTGGCCTCCCTACTTTCAAGTTATATGCCATAGGACAACTTGTTGAATCTTTTGTATCTCTGTGTCTCCATCTGTGAAATGGGGAGAAGAGTTTCTTTCACTCAGGGTTGCTTTGAGGATTACATGAAACACACCCTTCAAGAATCACTTAAATATCACCCAGCACTTTAACCATTAGAGAGCAGTGAGTGCTGTGACTAACACCAGTTCTTTTTCCTAACCATGCTGAGCAATCACTTTTAGCAAAGGTGGGGCGTCTGCACGTATTACTGCTCAAGCCCTCCCCTCCCAACTCCCTGGCCAGTTGTGATTCCGCTGTGTGCCACAGCCCCTCTAAACACCCAGTGGTTCTGGCCCAGGACTATTTTCAAATTCCCTTAAAGATGGTTTCCCTTCTGTTTCCTCTTTGCCTCCAAAAGGAGACTGGGACAGAGGTGCTTTGCTCCTAAAGATGTCTAGAAAGGAAGTTCATATTACGTTTGAAAACAGAATGAGATTTAAGAGCTCAGGAAATATAAGGGCATCTCCACCTCTCAACCTCCCGCAAGGATATAGGGAGATCTCAGAAACCCCTCTGAGGAAAGCTTCTATCAAAGAGACCAAAGCTTCAGCTGAAAAGAAAAAGGAATTTTGCCCCAAAAGAGACTTCTACTCTGTGTTGTGTCCCCTGCTTTATGTTATTTCTCCTGGCTTGTTGAGGGAAGTGATATTATTCCAGGTTGAGCAACTTGCCTACAGATGTGCTTCTTTTTTTTTTTTTTTTCAGATGTGCTTCTAACAAGCGGAAGGTCTGGGGTCCCGAACCCGGAGCCCCTGTCCCATTCATGTTATGAGATGTTCTGAGGGGAGGTAGCTCCACACCCTAAGCCTTTATGGCCCCCCTTGTGTTTTGGATCCAGACCCCCCTTTTCTTGACTCAATATATTCTGAATTTTTGTCCTGCAATTGTTTTAGAGATAATAGGACTTTTGAAATGGTAAAACTAATGTCTTTAGTCTCACTACTGTTTTATGTTCCTGGTTTATAAACCAGGCTATTATTGGAGGCTCACTGTGAAGCTACATGTCTGAGGAAAAGGGGGCAGGGAAGGCACTTGGAGAAGCTTGTGTCAGAGGCAACTCACATAAGAGGCTTTGCCCATGGGGCTGTGTTTAGGGCTCTGTGAAGTGACTGGTTCCCCACTTCCTCTTACTGTTCCCCACTTCCCTTGCAGAGAAATGATTAGGGCACATCGTTGGGTGTGAGGAGTATCTCAAGGTTGGAATACACACATTGGCTAAGAAGCCTCAAGATTTTGTGGTTAAGAAGCCTCAGGATTCAGGCTGGTGTGATCAGAACAGACCTCCAGCACAGCACGTGGAGCTCCTCGTGAAATTCAGAGATTTCTCGGGTTGTTAGATTCAATTTGCAGAGTTAACACACGTTTTAAAGTATGGCAAGGATATCCTTGATAATTGAGGATTTCGAGATGTCTTAAAGCTAAATGCATTCTTCACAGTTTCTAGTGTGACCTGTGCTTTTTCAATCCTGATCCACCCTCAGTCAAGGCAGTGGCTTATTTAATGTTTTGTGTTTTATATGATCTATCTTCCTTTGTTGAATTTTCCTCTGTTTTATTGCTTTTACATTTTATTAATTATGGAAGTAACCCATGAGAACCTTCTAGTAAAATTCAAATATATCACAAATAGAGCCAATTTTGTTTTTGATCATCAATCCAAATCTATTTCATCTATTTCTATCTCATTACATAAAGATTCTTTGGTGCTGTTTCTCTCCTTTAGTGTCTCATTCTTAGAATGTTTATTTTTTAGTCAAAGTTAAATATGCCTATAGTTTTAAACATTAAACAGTGCTAAAAAGGTGATAATATAACAGTTCTAAATCTAATTTTAAAAAAGAGAGAAAATACTGTAACAGTTCTGAGCCTTCTGGAAGCAATGAGTTTCAAGTATTTTTTGGCTTTATCTTCAGACATTTGAAAGTCTCCAAGGTAATCATACATATAAAATAATCTTGTACAATATTCCTCAATTTTTCAAAATTCTCTGCTGACTGTTAGGAGAATGAGGACTGCAGTTTCCTTTTTTCTTCTCTTCCAGATCTACTCTTTCCCCAAGTTTTTGTCACAATTTAAAGAATTAAATCCATAGTGTTTTCCTTATTATATAATCTGGAAATTTTTTTTAACTGTAGAACCAGATACTATCTATGATTACCTTTATTACTTGGACCATGTTTATTTTTCCTTGACTTAAAACTGGATTATTTAAAAGAAAAAAAAATGTGTTTGGCTTCCCTTATGGCCTTATGTGACTCTCTGCATACGTGTAACAGTGCTGAAGACAAAATTTCCCCTATGGTCAAACAGATCAGATTTCTTTTCTTGGAGATGATCTACGCAGAGCCACCATCTTTCTGTTGTTTGAGATGAGAGAGACTCTAGTACATTGACCTGGTAGCAGGAAAGAGTCAAGAGAGGAGGGTGGTAACAGGCAGCAGGGCCTGCGTAGTCTGTGAGGAGGGAGGTTTGAAGACCATCTGGAATCAGGTGGCAGAAGGGCACCTCTTAAACTGAAGGGAGGAGAAAGAGTGGGTGAGGCTTTGAGTGTAAGCGGAAGTGGAGCAAATTCCCATCTTATATTTTCTTTCTGATTTATAGGAGGTGAGGTTACCTAGGGGAATGAGAAAGGAGGTAGGCGTGGTTGGCATCCTGAGGTAAGTGGAGAAGGTTGGAATAGAACGTAAGTCAGAATTCTGTGCCGCAAAGCGGCCTGTAGGACCCGCTAAGGAGAAAGAGGAAGGGAAGTGACCAGGGTCACTGCCAACCACTCTGTTCATCTGACTGATGGCAGACAGTTGGGTGGCCCTTCAACTGGTGCCTCCTTGGAGGTGGACATGATCCACTGCAAGGAGTAACGTCAACCAAAATCAGCACTGTCGTGTTAGACCAGAGCATTGGAGACTTCAAGCTCGGTGTTCTCTTCTAAAATCCCTGTAGGATAAGCATGTATGGCAGGGAAGTAATGTGTGTAAACAATCCACTTCCAAATGCTCTGTTGTTGGTACCATTATTCTAGTTCTTTTTATCCCTTGTGTAATTTTGAGAAACACGTCACCAAGAGTCTTCAAAAGTCTGTTTGTATAGGACACTGTTCACAGTGAACTCTCCACATAGTCAGCCATGTGACTGAGCTTTAAACAAATTAAGTATGAAAAAACCAGGCGCATTCAACACTGAGTGGGTGGAAATCAACTACAGTTCTTATGTTGGTCAGTTTTATTTGGTGCGATGGATTAAACCCAAGGCCTGGAACATGCTAAGCACATGTTCTACCATGGAGGTATGCCTCCCAACCCCAGACCTTTCAATCTTAAACTCATTTCAATCTTAAACTCATTTAAAAAGAAAAGAACGTATTAATTTAACTGAAAAGTCATAGAAGTGCAGCTGGCTGCCTATTTCCACCCCTGCTCCAAATGTTGCCTTCCACTACATTGGCTTTATTTTCTATAGCCTCTCTTCATGCCCGGGTAAGAATGGCTGTTTGCTTCAAGGTTAGCAGCCCCACCTCGAAGCTATGGCCTAACCTTCCTTCCTCCTCCTCTTTGGTGGAGGGAGCACTCCACAGGGGGAGGCAGCCTTAGGGTGGGCTGCAGTGAAAGACGGGAGCATTGATCAGCACACTGATTTCTCTCATCCTGACCAACAGTGCAGCGTTGGGTGTCCAATGGGCAAGGTGAAGACACTGGGGGCTTTTTCAGATGGGAACATTTTTAGGTTTGCACTTAAGAAACTTTCTGCTGGAGAGGCCGTGTGGGGAAGACTGGACAGGGGAGACCTGTGGCGAGGCCACTGCAGGAGTTGAGGGTGTTGGCAGGGTGGTACTGGAGGAGTTGGAGAGAAGGAGATGGAGCCAGGAGATGGTTTAAGACATGGAATATGTGGACTCAGGACCTGACTGCATCTGAGCATTGCAACACCTTCCTAAAGCCTTCTCGTCCCTTATATTTGTTACCTGTTGCCACTAAGTCATCCGGAAACTATGTGGCTTCCTCCTCATTCGTGTTGCAGCAGTACCAAGGCAATGGGGCCACCTGGGTGTCTGTGACGCACACGGGCCACATTCCTCGGGCATCCCCTCCCTGAACCTGCACTCAACCCTCTGAGGTGGCCACGGTTATTACCCTTATTTGGGGGCTGGAGGAATGAAGTGTAGAGAGGGAAAGTTACCCGTCCAGGTTTACACAAAATTCCGAGCCAGGAGTGATGGAACCACCACAAAAAAACCTTAAATGTTGGGGTTTGAAGAGTCTCTGGTCTGGTGAAGATGTGGGAGGGTCACTTCCACACGGAGGGCATGGGAGCCCCAGCACCTTGCCCTGAGCATCACTTTCATTTGGGCATTTCTGAGTTGTAGCCTTTTAAAATAAATCATTAGTAGCAAGTGAACCATTTTCCTGAGTTCTTTGTACCATTCTAGCAAATTATAGAACCCTAGAGGGAGTCATGAAAAGCCCCGAATTGGTAGTCAGCTCTTCAGACATGGGGGTAGAGTTGGACACCCCTTTTGCAGCTGGCATGTGAAGTGGGGAAATCTTTAGAGATGACCTTTTAACTTGTGGGATGTGATGCCAGTTGTCAGTAAACCGTAGCAGAACTGAATTAAATTGTTGGGTATCCGTCCAGTGTCCAAAAGTTGGAGAACTGGTTCATATGAGAAGTGCCACATATTTTGTATCAGGAAAAAACCCTGAGGTGTGGAGACTTTTAGGGATACTTAGAAATATTCCAACTGTGACTTCATTCTGAGATGACCACCAGAGATATGGATGATTTTGTCAAAAATATTCTTTCTCCAAAATGGATGCTCTTTTTTTAATTTGGAAATTTTTAAAGCTACATGTTATTACTCTGCCTTGGCCCCTTTACAACCCCATTCTGCACCCCAAATCACTGCTTCCCGTCTCTGCTCAGGGCACTGTTGTGTTTCAAGTGCCGTCTTCCTAGAGTGGCGGGGAAGGGCAGCTGCTGACGGTTCTCTTTCTGTGAAGTGATGGAAACCGACCCTGCTTTCCTTCTCCTTCCAGAACACATTTAACATCACTGCTGATAAAGCTTTTCTCGATGTATTTCTGCCTGATGGAAGAAGCATTAATGTAGAAATTCTAACATCAGCTACTGCTGAAAGAGTCCTAGAGGTAAGCTTTGTTTAAACTCCAACTCCTAGCCAAATTTAGGAAAAACCTGCTTGAAAGGCAGGGACTGGACATGGCCACCTTCCAGAAGCTTCCTGCCTACAGTTTTACCCAGTGGATGACTTATCTGCAGGAGGTGCTGGGATGCAGGACACTGACCCAAGAACCCAGGCTACAGCCAATTCTCTGGGCCTCCTTGAATTTACCTGCTCTGTGGGTAACAATGTTTTGGGGGTTCTCAGAGGACCTTTCTAAAGCTGCTGTCACTTTCCTGGGACATAGTTAGGATATGGCCTGGACACACGCAGAATGCTTCATTATGGGTGCCCCATTGTTTGGAGCAGTAAAGAGGGTGGTACCACACTGATTCTGGAACAGATCATATCCAAATGGGTCATGACAGGGCCTAGCAGAGAATAACAGGGGCTTCTCAAAGGCCTCTTCTTAGCCTGAAGGCCCAAGCCTGCCTGGCCACCTGCCTCAATGGAGCTGTCTGCAGCCCTGGATTAGGAAACACACCTTCTCTAGATCTTGGTCCTTTGCAGAACCATTATTCCTTTCACTTGTGGGGGTTGAGTTTTATGTCTCAGCCATGAGAAATTAACTAAGACACCTGATTGAAATTGATTGAAATACACAGTCTACACATGTATCCAAACAACACATGGTACCCTATAACTATGTATAATGTTTTATGTGTCAATTAAAAAAAAAAAAGACCAGAAATGCCAGGAAATCATTTGCATGCAGTTACTCTTACAGAGGAACCAGGGCGGAACACTGGGAAGGAGGGAAACAGCCTGTGATGTTGTGCAAGTTCCCAGTAAGGGAGGGTCAGAGAAGGCCCGGTGTTGAGAGGTCATGGCCTGGTGACTGAGTGGTGATTGGTGAAGAGGAAACTGCGGGTGTTGAAATGAAAGCTGACGGATAGCACCATCAAAGAGGAATGTGGAAGGAGGCAGCCCATGCCTGGGGTCTGCAGCTTTCACTGATCAAACGTCATAGTAAATGACACTTGACCATCCCAGAAGCATCAAAGAGAAGTAGGCCAGGGGTGCCAAATGGCTTTTCTCTGAGTGTCCAATAATCCAGCCCACAGGAAGCTGCACTGGTGTGCAGGTCCCAGGGGCAGACGTGACAGAGGACTGGTGTTTATAGAGAACGGCTGCTGCCCTCCAGGGACACGGGGAACTAGGGACATTGAGCACCAAAATGGATAAGTGTCCATACCTGAGAGAGGACAGCCACCCTCAGTGAGGCTATCCATTGTGGTAGAACTGGTTTTTATTTGCTTCGCTGTACTTTTTTATATTTCTGAGTTTTGTAAAATGAATGTGTACCATTTTTAGATTCCAAAAAAGATTCCAGGTGGCCCGTGAGAACACTTGTTCCTGATGTGTCTGGGTCACTTCCCCTCTGCATGTCACAGGGAGTGTGGTTGGCATCCTAACAGTCTCCCTTCTGTTTGTCTCCGGTTTAGGTGGTGTCGTACAAACTCAGACTGAGTAGGGAGCTCTTGGGCTACTTCGGCCTCTTTCTCATTCGATTTCACGAGGGCATCCTGTCTGGTGAGAGCAATGAGGGCAGCTGGGAGGCGGGGAGGGCAGGTGTGAGCAGGGCTGTGGAGATGCAGGAGTCTCAGCTGAGGGGCTGGTCACCCACCCAGGTTGTGGTCCTTGGACCACTGTCCTCAGTCCTGGATCAAAGGTTTGGGGGAATGGGAGGTCAGGGACAAGCAGCGCCATGGTGGAATAAGACTGCTTATCATCCTGTTAAGTGTGCTCCTTCTCTTGTGCCTACACAGTCCCAGTCCTGATCCTCCCCCGCACCTCACCCTGGGCCTAGCCACTGGCACACCACAACCTCTTGGTAGAGAAATGTTAGATGCCAGTAGTGGGACATCCTGCCACAGCACAGGGTCTCCTTGTCAGAGGATATTTGCTATAAAATGTGGCTGATATAAAAGTTCTTAGACTCTTAAAGAGGTGTAATGAGGTAATGGAAGATCATAGTTTGATTCCCATGGCCATTGCTTTTCTGTCCAGTGTGTTCTCAATATACTATGCCTTTCCACCTGTGAAATGGTATTGGTTATCTTAAAGTAGTTTTTGTGTGTCCGCAAGAAGTGTCTGGGAGGTGGTTTTGAGTTAGAGGTCAGGCAGTTTGGGTATGGATGGGCTGGGCTGGGAGCTGTGTTGTGCTGGCCATGGTGCTAGACATTTCTGGACCTATTTCTTCATCTGCATCATAGGGTAAAATATCCTAACCAAAGGGCGGTGATTTGCTAAGGACCAAATATCATTTGGTTTTTAAATGAACTTTAGACAGTTAAAATTTCAAACACACTCAAGAGAATATTTTTATTGTGATTTTATTTTTTCCAGGGGTGATAGCTTACTTTCTTATCTGAATGCTTCTATATGTGAACTCTGTGTGCAGTTTGAACCAGTCAGACTTTCTCTTTTTCTAGTTGTGAAAAAGTTGGCAGAGTTTGAACTCCCTTATGTTAGTCTTCAGAGTTCTGAAGTGGAAAACTGTAAGATTGGACTCCGAAAGTGGTGAGTACTTACAATGACACAGACCAGTGGTGACCAGGACTTGTTAGAGCCCCCATGTCTGGCCCACAGCTCAACAACTGGGTAAATCTCAACCAGGAAATGGGGAAGGTGAAGAGTAAAGTAACAAGGAAGACAGAGGGAAATGAACCACAGCATTTGACCTAAAGTATAGGATGCTAAGAATGACATCCTTTCTTCAATTCCCACCTCTCCTGAGAGGCATATGCAAAGAGCAAGCTTGAGAAATGGCTAGGGTGGGTGGGGTGGATTGAAGCAGGCCACAGCAAGCAGCTGCTGACTGTGGGCTTGCTGTGGAATGGATGATACTAGCTGTATTCGTGGAAAAATTTCTTAGAAATTGCAGGCAGATCTGATTCATCTTTCAAATGTGGTATTCTTTGTGGGCAAGGGGGGACTTAGCCAATTTGCAATGAAATTGAACTCTTACATTCCTAAAGGAGATGTACCTATGCCATTCATCCTCCTTCATTGATGAGACGCAAGTGCCCCTCTGAAGAAAATACTGTCATTTCCCCCAGAACAGGAGGTCTCTTAGAAATCAAAGAGAAAATGACCGTGAGGAGCGCGGCATGTACCCCGCCCAGTCCTGTAATCCCAGCATCTATTAGCACAGCTGTCTTGGATTGCTACCCCAGCCCAGTTACTTTAGGAGGAATAGTCATTAACTGGATCTCATGGTGCTTCCTAGAGCTCCAGTTAGGGCTTTGGATTCTGCAAGGATATTCTCTGCCAGGCTAGAAGTTTATATACTGTTACTCAGAACTGTTCTGAGAAGTGGTCAACATCTTTGGTGTGGAACATGGGGAGGGGAGAGAGGACTCAGCTCCATCTGCAGGTTTAGGGAATAACTTCTGGGAGAGTAAGCCCTACGGCACAGTTGTGCTTGGGATCAGAGTATGCGAATCTCAATCCCATCTGTCTCAGGTTTTAGCTTTATCACCCTAGCCAAGCTATTCAAGTCTTCTACGCCTCAATTTCTTTATCTATAAAATTGTAATAACAAATAATCATGGTATTATTCCCTAGGATTATTGTGAGTAACCTTACAAACTGTTTTGGTCATGCTTGTTATTGTCATATTGATGCTAATGATGTTTCTAGCAACCAAAAAAAAAAAAAAAATCCTTAGGGCTGAGACTTTTCATTCCTGTGTTCTCAGGAGAACTTCAGGTCAAAGGTGAGGTGAAGCATTGCCTTGAAGCTTAAACTAGACATTAGGTTGGCTTTGCCTATGTCTTTATAAAATAGGCAAATTCTAGATGATAAGTGCAAGATAAAACGTCTTCCCCATTGCAAGCCATCATCTCCATCCAGGCAGATTATTCCATTGCTTATGGCACTGGAGAGGAGAGAGGCCCACCTCTGTTGCTGGCGATGAGAGTCAGGTCTCTGGAAATGGACTGCCTGGTATAGCAGCCCATGGTGCCTCGGATGGGAGTACACCAGTCCCAAGAGCTTCATGAATCCAGCAGAGCTTTAAGGACTTTTTTCCTCCATGATGTCTTGGCACATCTCTCCAGTGAAGACATGGTTCCTTCCAGACCAGAGGGCACTAACTCCGGGCCCTCCAAGCCCAGCCTCGGATGGACCTGGGCCTCTCCAGCTCTCTGGTGCCACAGTTGCTATGCTGTGCTACACAGATGCCCCTGGGCTGTAGGCAAATAGCTACACAGAAAGGTGTAGGAATGCTTCTTCGTTTCTCCCCACCCCCAGATGAAGGTGACCTTCCAGTACCGTTTTAACCCTTTCCCTGATCTACGTCAGTCTTGTCAGTCCAGTCACCGTGTACCCTGGATGCAGCTGCTGCTTGCCTCTGCCTGGTGGCTGGGTGTCAACCAGCCATAGCCCACCTTTTCTGACTCTGTCTGTCCATCCTCAGCATGCACCTGGGCTTACGTGGTCATGAATTTCAGCTCATCCTGGTGATTCTGGATCTGATAGGCAGACAAGAAGCCCCTATTATTTACAATCACTTTTGCAAGACCCAGAGAAGCAACTTCCAAACAGGACTTGGGGGTCTTCATAGCTGGTGTCCAGAAAACTTTGTCAGAGCAGTGACTAGGAGAAATTCCTAGTGGCGCTGGGGAACAGAGGATGGGTTGCTAACACAGCCTTGGGAAGTGGGGACCAGAGGAGGGGATGTGGGGTGAGGCTTGCATAGAGAGCCAGGTAAGTCTGAGGAGGAGAGCAAGGATGCGGTGATCTTCTGGGCAGGAGAGGAGAGAAAGCACAGGTGGATGGGCTGCAGAGATGGGCTGGGGGAAGGTAAGAAGTGGGTGCAAATGAAAGCAGGCTGGTCCCACCCACATGGGGCCTCCGAAGCAAACAGGGTAGAGGATCCACCTGCAGCTCAGAGTCTCTGAACGGTTTTTCTGGAAGGCCCCTCTGGAAGAACGTGTGGGGCTGAGGCAGAGGCCTGGGGAAAGTTCCAAGGCCGTGCTAGCAGGAGATGAAGGTGGCTGCACATGGGGTGCTGGTAGGCTAGCAGAGGAGCTGGTGGGAGACATGAAGGCTAGGAGAGGCGGGGTAGGGCTTTGTGAGAGGCGACCCACGTGTGCCATTGGCCATGTCATCCGAAGTCACGTAGTGCTCCGGCCTTACGCAGGTACATGGACCCAGCCCTCGACTCTGTGCTGATGGACTGCGGAGCGGCTGTGGAATTGCTTTACATGCAGGTGAGCAGACCATGCATTAGAGGTCATTTGGTTTGGAATTGTTTAAAAAATTATAGTACTTAAGAAGTCTGTCTCCAAAGCTAGAATAGGCAGAGGCGGAGAGAGAGAAACTAGAATAGAGGTTATCTGCGACTAGAGGAGAGGAGAAGGGAAAGTTATTGTGCTGTGGGTATAGTTTCTTTTTGAGACATAATGAAAAAGTTTGGGCAAAGATAGTGATGCAGGTTATATGACATTGTGAATATATCTAGTGCCATCCCATCTATACTTACAAATGGGCAATATGATAAATGTTATATATATTTTAATTATAATTTTATAAATAAAAATAAAAGTAGAGGAGTTTGGAGAGAGGAAAACTGAGCTCTCCCTCTATTTTAACCACCACTCTCTGAATTTGTAAGTGGCGCTCTGCTCATCCGGGGCAGTGGTGTGAACCTACAGCACACGTGCCACAGCAGGCTGTTTGCTAACACTGAAAGCTCTAACAGGTTCGCCGTCACTGATGTAGGCTGCTGTGACAGCCCTAGAAAGGATATCACAGCTAACATGGGTTACACACGGTCCCGAAATCTCACTCCAGCATAACCTGTTTTTCTTTGAGGCGATAGGTGACCACCTGCTCCAGGCTGGCTTCCTGGGCATGTGGCCTCTGTAGTTGCTTTAGGCCTTGAGCTTGTTCAATTCTCTGCTGTCAGATTATCTTGAAACTCTTATAGGTTTTTTTTTTTCCACAAGTGACCCCACATTTTCAATTTGCACTAAGTAAACCCTGCAAATCATACAGTTGCTCCTGCCTACCCACTGATCTGAGGAGAAGTGGAATTAGAGTCCTTTCCCTTTCTCCGTCTCGAGGGGGGCAGGCAGTGAATGGTCAGCATTTCTTCCCCCAATCACCCCACAGACCCCTCCTCAGTTCTCTGTCAGCTTCACTGGTGTGTGATTGCGGCAGGGAGGGAAGCTCTTGCACACTGTTCTCAGCGGCCAGCAGCACTGTGGGTCCAATTCTTGCCCTGGATGGGCCCTGCCAAGGCTCAATTAAACCCCGTTCCCCAAGTCCTTGTTCCGCTGATGTAGGCTAATTCAGCCCCTAACTCTCTGCCACTACCGAGCATGCCCACCATCTGATTGCGCCTGTGCGCTTTCTTGTCTCTCCCAGCTAGGATGATATCTCTGGGAAAGAATGTATTTATACCCCACTGCTGGATTCCAGAATTTTTTTCTTTTTCTTTTTGAGACATGGTCTCGCTATGCAGTTCAGGCTGGCTTTGAGCTCACTTTGTAGCTCAGGCTGGTCTCGAACTCACAACGATCCTCCTGCCTCAGCCTCCTGAATGCTGGGATTACAGGTGAGCGCTACCACGCCTGGCCCTGGATCCCAGAATTTAGAACTGGTCCTGGGACATGATGGGCACTGGAGCCCCATAGGGAGCCTGGCATTGCTTCACTGAAGCTTAATGATAATTCTGTAAGGTATTTGGTACCATCTACATTCCAAGGAAAGAGAAACTTGAAGTTTGCTGACAGAGTATGGAGAAGTTCTGGCTTGGGTGGCCAGATGTGCAGAGAATTTAACAATACCTCCTTCCAGGTAGCTTTTATGTAGTTGGAAGGTAGACTTGCAGAGGGAATAGATGCAGTGAGTCATTATTTTTAATGAGCTCTTCAAGGCAACAGAAAACATTAATAATACCGAGGCTCAGGCTGAGGCTGTGGCTGAAAGGTCAGTGAGTGGACTTTGATGCTTCCAAGCAGAGGGAAGAAAGAACCCGAGTGCATATTTGCTTAGGTGACTTAGGAAACCAACACCACGAATAAATCACCTCCACAAAGCTCTTTTGAATTCTAAGGAGACAATCAAAATATCACGTATTAAACATTTAATATTCACTATCACATTTTTATGACTAGTCTGTAGCTTGAGTTCATTTGCTATTATACTTTACCTATATACAGTAATGTTGAGTACTTATATGCATGTCATGTGAGTTGGAGCAGAATTTACCACCTTGAATAGCTATTGTGTCTCACTGCTGTTGTGCGCTTGCAATTATACTACACTGTCAGTTGTGTCTGGTTGATTTGAGATCACATCCTTGGTGGAAAAACACATCACCTAAATCTAGCATTGTTCCTGTGGGAAACACAGTCTTTGTGGCATGGCTTCCAGTTCTCACTGTGATGAAGATTAGGACTGCCGGCATCATAACATGGTTTTTATGTGTCATTAGGACTTATAAGCCAGAGTGAAATGGATGATAATATTTCCTGTGTCATCGCTGGAAAAAAAGATGGCTTTGAGGAAAGCACACTGTACTACAAATTTTGAAAGTGAATTCTGTCACTTACTCTGCCTGCCGCCGCTCTCTCTCCACAAGGTCTTGGGTCAGCCAGTTCCTCCTCTGAGACACCACATTGCCCTGTGAGCAACAAGGTTGAACTGCTAGTCTCTAAAGTTTTCTCCCAGCTTTAATAGACTGTTTTTCAAACCTCATCTCACTGTATGGCAAAGTCTTCCAAAAACTGTAGTTGATGTCATAAAAACCTTCATCATCATCATCATCATCATCATCGTTGTCCCCTGAATCCATATAGAGGTACTGGAAGTTAAAGGTTGGCCCAAGATCAGCAGGAGAGTCAGGACCACAATCCACTGCCCCATTTGGGAACCATTCTTTCGCTCCCACCAAAAGAAAATACCCCTTTCCTCTGCTCCTGTAGTACTTTGCTCATATCCCCTATTATGGTGCCTCTCACCTAGTGTGGTCAGTAAGTAGGTTCATGTACATTTCTCCCTAGGCAGCCTGTGTCTCATTCCTGAGTCCTAGGTGCCTAGCACATTCATGAGTGAGCAGTAGTCATCTTTTAAAGGAATGAGTGCAAGAAGACCTTATGGGTTCTGACAAATAACAGAATTCTCATAATTAACTTTTAAGAGTTACCCCTTTGATTTTGCTAATACAGATGTGCCCAACAATGCCTGAGGAGCCAGTTTATTTCCCTTTCCCTCCGCCTTTTTAAACTTGAGTGACATTAACAAAATGAAGAATTGCAGATAAGCAGATAGGTAACAGATTGCAGATAGATTTCTGCATTTTCTCGAAAATGTCAAAGGTTTGATCACTTCTGGCTCAACGTTTCAGCAGGGCCACCTCTAATCTATAAAGGAACTTTGGGCAAATTAGAAAAAGGGCCCTCCTCCTCCAGGCAGCCTCATTGTGTGACAGGCCCTGTGCCTCAGTGAGGGAAGTGCTGGCGAATGACACCCCGGCTGGTGCCCTTGTTCTGGGCCATGTTCCCTGCCATCCCGTGCCATGCTTCATCCAGCCAGAGCCAAATGGTGGTGCCTTTCTTGTAGGGGGCCCATGGTCCTGGGTCTCATAACTATGCCTTCTGCAGAGGGCACTCGTGCTTGTGTGACCAAGGCTCATGAAATCCATGGCTGTGTTGTTTCTGCAATAGGGCATTTATGTTTCAGTGTTTGAGGATCTCAAGTCCTCTGGTGCAGAATGGTAAGTCTTGGGTCAATACTTACTGCCACAATTGCTGTTCATCTTCGTATTAGAGTTCTCCAGAGGAACAGAATCAAGAGCAGATACATGTATAATTCTACAAGGGGGTTTAGTAGGTAGGGTCACAGGATCAGAGGCGGAGAGTCCACAATGGCCGTCTGTGTACTGGAGAGCTGGAGGGTCCAGTAGCTGCTCAGCCCAAGAAGATGAAATCTGTAGGTCAGGAGGGATCATGGATGCAGACCCAGCCCAAGGTTGAGCCATTGTGTCTGCACGGGAAGGCTGCAGAACCTGGAGACCCATGTCCAGAGGCAATGGTGAAGACCGGAGCTCTTCAGAAATGGCTGCACTTCCTTCTTCCCCTTTGAATTCCATCCATGCTACAGTCCTACTGGTTGGTGCCTCCCATATTCAGAATGTGTCTTCACCCCTCGGTTTGCTGGCCTACGTGTCAGTCATTTACAGACACAGCCAGAATAGCAGTTTCCTAATTTGCTGATCATTCCTTCATCCACTCAAGTTGGTGGAGCAGGATTAACTCCATTCCTGTTTTAGTCAAGCCTCCTCTTTGACACCTTTGTGCTGTGTTAATGGTCCTTATAGGCTCTAGCGCCAAGCCCAGTTTGGGCAGGATAAAGGTGTTTAGTCTTCTACTCATGCAGATTCCACCCTAGTGTGGTTTTTGGGTTCATTTCAAAGAAGAGATGGTGACAAGAGAAAGCTGGAAGGTGGGTAGCTGCCCACGTGGGAAAAGCGCAGCGGCTCGGGCAGGACTAGGAGGGCTTGGTGTAGAGACCAGACCCAGTTTTAATCTAACCCCTGCCACTTACTTGCTGGGTCACCTTGAGCATCATAAACCTCCGCTGGCCTCAATTGATCCATCTGTAAAATGATCGTAATTATTCCTACCGCACAGAATAGTTGGGGAAAAGTCAGTGGGAAAACCTATCTAAAGCAGATTCCTAACATACTATTTTTCTAAGTCCCACACCCACTTCCCCCAACCTGAACAGCAGTGTCAAAAACATTTTAGTCTTCATCCTTCTCTTGGAGATAGGGCGCACCCTGCCAGGGTCACTGGGGGATGTAGCACAGACTTCTGTTCAGACCGAGGTGTACAGAAGCAGAGCTGGTGAGCCCATGCCACACGTGGGGTGCCGAAGTGAAGGGCACAAGTTCTTCCCCCGAGCGTTGACAGTCTCCCTGAGGAGCAAGGGCGTGCGCTTCCCGCTCCTGAGAAGTCACAGGAGCACTGGCTCCCTGTGCTCAGCTGATGACCTGCCAGCTCACGCCAGAGGCCCCCGGGGCCTCCCCAGGTCGTCTTGCTTCCAGGGAAAGGAAGAGGATGCTTCCGTTCCTGGCTGCTGGAAGAGGCGATGTGCGCAGAAACCACGGTGGCAGCAGAGCAGGGAAAGCCGGCTGCAGCCCGCAGGCTTGGTTACTTCAGCTTTCCTCCACTTCGGAAGGATCCTGACAGCTTCTGCAGGGACCATTGTCCTTCAAGTGGTTCCTGCCGTTGAGCCCACTGTTGCTCTGTTGAAATCTGTGACGGTTTAGGAAACAACCAAGAAGCCCATCCGGAATCTGGAGTTTGGAAACTTTAACTGAATGCACTTAGCCGAGGCTGAGCAGACGGGGCCCAACAATATGTTCTATTTTAAGTTTTAAATGTTAAATTTGTTTTCATCTTATAAAAAATTTACAAATATGGAAGACTCAAAGCAAAAGGGTATGTCCCCCTGGACTTTTAACCAGATAATTAGCTTTATACTTAGACTATTAACTTTTTGGGAGTTTTATCTCTATCTATCTATGTATATCGATCTATTTATCTATCATCTATATTTTTATTTATATGCACATCCATTTCTTTGATTCATAACTGCAAATAAGGCTTGTTTTGTTTTATAATTTTTATCATTTTATTTTATTTTTATCTTTTTCCTTTTGTTTCATTTATTTATTTATTTTTGAGCGGGGCGGGGGGGCATTTAGCTCAGTGGCACAGTGCCTGCCTGGCAAGTGCAAGGTTGTGAGTTTGAGTCCAGGTACTGGAAAAAAAAACAATTTTTGTCATTTTACAAAAGTTGAGGTGGCCAGGCATGGTAGTACATGCCTGTAATCCCAGCACTTGAGAGGCTGAGGCAGGAGGATCGTTGCAAGTTTGAGAACAGCCTGGGCTACAAAGTGAGCCTGAACTGCATAGTGAGACCCTATCTCAAAAAGACAGAAAGAAAGACAGACAGACAGACAGACAGAAAGAAAGAAAGAAAGACAGTAAGAAAGAAGGAAAGAAACTACACTTGATCTTACCCAAAAGGCCGAGAAGCGATAAGAAAGAAAGAAAGAAAGAAAGAAAGAAAGAAAGAAAGAAAGAAAGAAAGAAAGAAAGTTGAGGTCTTCTATTATACTGTTATTTTATAACTTGATATTCTTTTTCTGTATCAATACCTAGCAGATTTTTCCCCATTTGTTAAATATTCTGTGCATTTTTTAATGATGGATTACCTATTCTTTGGTTATATGCAAATTCGGTTACCTACTTTGGACACTTCATAACAGCACCTACCTCTCAGGGTGGCTGTAGCACTGACTTTTGTTTTAAGGAATTAGAACACTGCCTGAGCTACGGTAAGCACTGTCCAGTCATCCTTTAGTATCCACAGGGGTTTGGACCAGGATGCCCTGTGAAACCAAAATCCAAAGATGTTCAAGTCCTTTATATATAATGGTGTAGTGTTTGCATATGATCTACCACATTCTCAATCTCTAGATTATTTATAATACCAGATACGATGAAATTGCTGTGTAAATTAATTGTTATACTCTATTGTATATGAGGGGGTAAAGTTTGTCCATGTTTAGTAGATGTAAGTCCTGAATATTTTCCATCCATGGTTGTTTTATCCTAGGAATACAGGGGGAAGGCAGTATCTAGTTTTCCCCTATTAATAAGCTGAAAATTTGTTATTACAAAAATACAGTAATAGCTCTGTCACTATATTTTCCTCACATCTGTAATTCTTGTATGTGGTTTTAGACTTGTATTGCCAAATTATTTCTAGAAAGCTGTACCAATTAAATCCATCCCTCCTATAAGAATGTTCTGTGTCCCCAAACCCTTATCAATTCTAGTTGGTTGTTTTAGTCTTTGCCAAATTAAGAGGAAAAAATCCTTTCGTTACTAGTGAGGTTGAATATATATTTGTCATTTGGAACTCCCTTTGGGCAAATGCCAGTGCATATCTTTTGTCCATTTTCCTGTTAGCAATTTTATATTTTTATTGCTTTCTATAAATATTAACTCATTGCCATACATGATGCAGTCATTTTCCTTGTTTTACCATCTGCCTCAGTTTTGTTCTTGGTGGTTTTTCTATGCAGAAATTTATATTTTCATGTAATTATATATGATCATTCCTTCCTCATACATTTTATCTTTGTGTCTTAAGAAGATAGTCCCCACCTCAAAATCAGGTAAATACCATCATCTTTTTTGTCTAGTTCATTTATGGTGTTTTTATAATTAAATCTTTAATTTCTCTGGAAGTTTTTTTGATGGTGATGTGACGAAAGGGCTAATTTTATTTTCTTTGCTGTGTGCTACCAGTTGCACCCAAAATGTCAGACAATTTTTTCCTGCCCACTAATTTAAAAAGTAACCCTTTTAACATGGTAACTCCTATACAGATTCACTCTGGTCTTTTCTTGTAGCCCTTCATACATGAGTATGTTTTTGTCAGATAATTCATTTCTGCTCAGGTTGCTAACTATACAATTTCTGTTGCTTTAAGGCAGTGCAAGACATAGAAAAAGAGTGGATCAAGCCCACACAGGCACAGAGGCAGGAATTAGAGGCTCTTCAGAAAGAAAACAATCGAACCAAGGTGAGTCAGATATTGTGCCGAGACATCCTTGGAAGGGAGTTCAGGAAACATTAGAAGTGGGCTGTTGCTCTTCTTTATAAACCCGTTAAACCCTAACAGCAAGGCTCTTTTTGAAAATGAGAATACCTTCACTGACTTTTCTGACTAGAGAATTAGTAAAGGCTTTTTAAAAAGATTCGAAAAAATACAGTATATTGGGAGTGTTTTGCCAAGTTAATTAATATAGATCCTCCACATTATTTTTAATGACTCCAGAGTATTGCGTTATATGGTTGTGTTATCATTTAGCTCGCTAGTTTCCTATTACTGGAAGTCAGATTGTCTCTAGATCTTACTGTGATAAATCACGGTGGCAGCAAGTGCTGTGAGGCCCAGGACTGTGTCTAATGTATACACTCTCTGTGTCCCCCACAGCTGGTACAGGTCCCCCCAAACCCTGCAGCCAACACCTCCATGTTTAAGTATGCACTCTGTTTTCCTAAGGAGTTATTCCTAAAGATTCATTTTAAAGCTTTTATACAGGTGGTACCAACCCATCTACCTCCCGCCCACAAGCGGCATACATGAGCCTGGCAGAGAAGACAGATTTAACAGAAGCAATGGTCTCTGTCTCTTGTGCTGTCTTTTTCATTTGCCATATTTCCAACTGCAGCAATGATTTTGAACCAAATGTGACAAAAATTTAGAGGACTTATTCATAGTTAGGTTGATTACAGAGTCATTCAAAGGCTCAGACACTGAGATTTTTACTGGACAGGAAAAGAAAAGGTAAAAGAACACAAAAGGGAAAGGCATATACTGCCACAATTTAGTAACCCCCAAAACCTTGGGATTCCACCTCAGCTTTGTCACAAACAGTTTCAAGTTTAATTTCTCTGTATTTGTAAATTTTGACAAAATACAGCTTCTGTTTTGATGGGCTTTGTTTTTTTGTTTTTTTGTTTTTTTGTTTTTTTTGTTTTTTTTCTGGTACCGGGAACCGAACTCACGACCTTGCGCTTGCCAGGCAGGCGCTTTTGCCGCTGAGCTAAATCCCCAGCCCCCTGAGCTAAATCCCCAGCCCCCTGTTTTGATGGGCTTTGAACACTGGTTTTATTATGCTGCTTGGCTTTACCAAAATGTGTGTATTTTTTTCACAAACAAAATTCATCTCCTATGGTAAGTATGTTCCCTCAATTTACCATATGACATGTGCTATGGTCTTCTAAAAACTACTTTAAATATACGAGTTAGATTTTTAAAATTGAATCATTATTGAAGTTAACTTGTTTTCTTTCAAAATCATCTATGTGTGGTGATCCCCCAAATTATTTATTTGTGCAGTTCTTCCGTTAATGGAGCAAATATATAAACAACTACTGCTTTACTTTATGTACTTATACAGTACAACCTGAAGTAGTTGACAATGAGTGAAATTAACTCCAAGAAGAGTCATTTATTTGACCTATATCAGAGATAGCTAACTATGGGCCTTTGTTTTTGTAAATAAAGTTTTATTGGCACTCTCCTTTTTAAGTTATGTAAGACTGCTTTGCCCTGGAGTGATGGAGGTGAGTAACTGCAATAGAAACCTTTGCCCCCCCAAAGCCAAAACTATATATATGGCTTTTGATAGGACAGTTTGCCAACCCCCGCTCTAAATGAAAATATATAAACATACCTTCTACAGCTATATGTGTTAACCTGTCTTTTTCAAGTGCAATCTTCTTAAAAGAACTAAATTTCAAGTCAATAATACTTGAAATTTCTGTCTCTGGTTTTCGCCTAGTAATATTGCCAGGTCCCCTTACGAATGACAAATGCCAATGAGCATTTCGAGTAAGTTATTTATTCATCGCAAATTTTCTTGAAAAATATAACTTTGCTTTTAATTTAGCACAGTCAGTTCTTTTAACTCACCGCAGCCAAGAGAGTTTTGCAACTTTTAAAAAAGCACCAAATCATAAACAAGTATAGATTTATACTACACAATAAAGTTAACATTATCATAGCGAGGGCATGAAACTGCTCGCTCTATCTTTGGCGACAAGAGGACTCATCCCCTGCCCCGTACCAAGTACTCCCACCCAGAAGTGCTTGGTGTTTCTCACTGACCCAGCTGGAGGCCAGGTAGCTTAAGCATCTCCCAAGCTGGAGCGGGGACTAGCATAGTAAGCCAGTGCACACGGCCCACAAGGACAGTAGCTGTGTGCGCTTGTCCAGCTGGTGGCAGGAGATCCAAAGTCTGCTGTCCCTCACCATTGTGTTGGTACATTTATATTTCACTTTATCAGCAAGCACTTGACGTAGTCCTTGAATGGGAGACCCAAGTTACCCGGCTTCCTGAAAGGGCCAGGAAAGAGCTAGGCTGTCACGGGGCTATGTGGCCTTTCTGATTTCACCACGTGCTAAAGTGACAACTCTGATGCTTCCACACACATCTTACACACCATGAAGCCAAACATAGCAGAGGCTGCAGTGAGAAGACGGAGTCACCAAACCACCGTCAGCTTATCCAAATGCAATACGAATGGGAAGAGTTTAAAAATAAAAAGTCTCGGTCAGATGTCAGCAGGACAACATGCAGGGACCACAGTGTGTGCGAACCGCAAATGTTCTCTGTTCTCAGATGGCTTCAGAAGCAGAGGGAAGGGCTACGTTTCAAAGTGACATTAAAATTGTTCCCTTTGGCATCTGGGAGCTGTCTGGAACTGTCCTTAGGAAGCAGCCTACCCGCCCTCATTTCATTGTGTTTCCAAAACCTTTTCCCTGACAGCTAATACCACCACCATCATATAAAAGAATGTGAAAAAGTGAACTACTTTTCCTCCTACATAGAGCTCAGCTGAGTTTTTTAAAGGATGGTATTCTGACGATTCCCTTTTTGTTTATACTGCCGAGATAAAGCCATTTCTGCTCAGTTGTTTTATTCAACCCTACTTTTTTTTTTTTTTTTTTTCACTCCTTCGGGATATTTTCCTTCGCCCCATGTGCCAGGCACCAAAGAGAAGCAGGGACAGGATCGATGATGGACGAAGCAGGGTGGTCCCTGCCCTGGCAGGCACCCTGAGACCTTCCCAGGGCTTATGTCAGTTCCTCGGGCATCGTCCTCATTGGTGTGGCCCAGCAGGAAAGGGGCTGTCCCTGTGAGTGACTCCCGCATATCCTGCTGGAGCAGTGGCATCTCACTTGAGGTTTTCATCGGCATCAAGTGGTCTTTTGCTTCCTTCTTGGGGCAGTTTCTGCGACTGTGCCAGGAGGTGCAGCACTATGGGTCTGTGCGGCTGGATCCGTGCCGCTGTGACTACCCAGAGCCGGGCTGCGGGGCCGTGCTCTCCGTCGGCAATGATGAGATCAACTGCTGCATCACCCTGCCTGACCACCAGACCCAGGATGTCACCTTCCAGATGAGCAGGGTGAAGTGCTGGCAGGTCACTTTTCTTGTGAGTATCTTGGTCCCTTGTTTTGCCCATGACTTAACATCCTGCTGCTCTTGGAGGACAGAGTTGGCACTAGGGAGACAGGTTTGACATTTAAATTAGTACCTGAGTGGACAGACAACTAAGCCGCGGTAAATATCACCTGATGGTAAATGCTATCTGTAGTTGGCACAGGTCCCTCATCAGGACAACAGAGACCAGTCTTCCTTCCTCCAACAATGGGCTTCTCTACTGCTTGAAGGGCAGCTAGAGAAATAACAGCAGGTGGTAATAACTGCACCAGTTGATTGAGCACTTATTATGTGCTCCATGCTACCAAGACACTGGTAATGTGTTCTCTATCTTGTCACATGGGACGTCTACCACTACCTTCTGATTGCCAATGGAGAAATACGGAAATCATCTCTAACTTTTCTTTCTCTCTTGCCCTACACATGTAAAGGCTGATGGAGACCTAGCCGATCCTTGTTATCCTCAAAACTTTCCCTCCTCTCCACCCTCACAGCTTGGCCTCAGCACTCCCTGCATGCGTGGGTTAAACAGCCTCCTAGCCCTTCTCCTTGCCCCAGTCTCTTTTTCCTCTTTGGAGTCAACGAAAATATACTGTATGGTTTCAATGTATTTTAAGCTCATGGAAACTTGTGTTGCGGTCAAAAACTTGATCTATCTTGGTAACATTCCGCAAGCACTTAAAAAGAAAGTCTTCTCTTACGGAATGGAGTAGGCTGTACATATCAATTGCTATGGGGATTGGCTTTCTTTTTTCATAGCAGTTCTTTGGAAATGCATCCAGGTTGCACAGATCAATAATTTGTTTCTTTTTATTGCTAGGCAGTAGTCTGTGTTATGGGTGTACTAAAGTTTATTTAACTATTCACCCATTGAAGGACATCTAGTTATTTGCAGTTTTTAGCTATTATGATGATAGCTGCTATAAATATTCATGTGCTGGCTTTTGTCTGAGCATAAATCTTAAATTCTCTGGGATAAATGCCCGGGAGTGCAGTTGCCAGGTCATATGGTAATTGCATGTTTAGCTATTTAAGAAACTGCCAAACAGTTTTTGAGAGTGGCTCTGTCATTTTATGTCCCTACCGCTAATACATGAGTTGTCCATTTCCTTTGCACCCTCCTCTAGCATTTGGTGTTGTCACTATTTTTTATTTCATTCATTCTGGTGGGTGTGTGATGGTATCTCATTGTGATTTTTGTTTGTATTTTCCTACGGCTAATGATCTTGAAGGTCTTTTCATGTGCTTATTGGTCATCTCTCTATCGGCTTCCATGAAATACCTCTTCGTTTTGTTTTGTTTTACTGTTGAGTTTTGAGAGCTCCTACTGTATTCTAGGTGCTCATCCTCTGTTGGACATTTGTTTTGCAAATAGTTTCTTTCTGTAGTTTTCCATCCTCTGAAAAGAGTGTTTCGCAGAGTCAAAGGTTTTAACTTTGGTGAAATCTGGCTCATCATTTTTTTCTTTTATGGGTTATGCTTTCGCTGTTTAGTCCAAGAAATTTTTGCCAAACCCTGGACTGTGAAAACTTTTTTCTGCTGTTTCTTTTTCTAAGTTTTGTGGTTATGTGCTTTATATCTAAGTTTATGATTCACTTTGAGTTAATTTTTGTATAGGATAGGAAACTGAGACAAGTATCCAGTGTTTGTCCCTGGAAGACCGGTTGCTCTAGCACTGTCTATCGAAAAGGATTTCTCTCCTTAATTGAATGCTTTTGTACCTTTGTCGAGACGCGAGGGATATGGCTCAGTGGCAGAGCATGTACTTAGCATGTGCAAGGCCATGGGTTCAGTCCCTAGCACCCCCCAAAAAATTAGTTGGGCGTGTTTGTGCTGGTTCTCTATTCGGCTCTGCTGATCTATCTGTCTATTCCTTCACCATTACCACAGAACATTTTTCTTTCTTTGTAACAGTTTTATTGAGGTATAATTTAACATACTATACAATTTGATCACATGAAGTGTACAATTGAATGGGATTTAATACAGTCACACAGTTATGCAGCCATCATCACAGTCAATTTTAAAGCATTTTCATCATTCCAAAAAGAGGATGTCATCACCCTATCTCTAACCACTAAGAAACAACCAATCCCTATCTGTCTCTGTACATTATATTCGCCTATTCTGGACATTTCATAGTACTGGATTCCTAGTCTCTGTTCTTTGTGACTAGCTTTTCCTGTACTGTAATGTATCTGAGTTCATCTTTATTGTATATGTATCAGCACTTTATTGCTTTTAATGGTCAAATAATAGCCCATTATCTGGAGGTACCATTATATTTATCCATTCATCCTTTGATGGACGTTTGGGTTATTTGTACCACTGGCTCTAATGAATTATGCTGCAAGGAACATTTGTGTAAATGCTTTGGACAGTCATATATTTTCATTTATCCTGGGTCTATATCTAGAAATAAAATTACTGGGTCAAATAGTAATTCTGTGTCTACCTTTTGAAGGAACTATCCGCCTGTTTTCCAGATTGGCTGTACTACTTGGGTCCCCCAACAGATGCTGAGGGTTTGAATTTCTCCATGTTCTTGTCAATACTTGTTCTTGTCTGATTTTTAAAGTTACAGACAACCTAGTGGGTGTGAAGTGGCATCTCATTATGGTTTTCTGTATTTCCATTTTTTTCTCTATACACTTCATCTTGGGTAATCTTTCCATCTGTATTATTTTAACATACTGTATATCCTATCCAGTGCATTCTTGCATCTAATGTTGTATTTTTCATTACTAAAAGGTCTACTTGAGTCCTTTTTATATCTCCCATTTCCCTCCTTTGGCTTATTTTTTCCTTTAAATTCTTATTTATTTATTTATTTACTTTTTGATTTATTGAGACAGGGTCTCCCTACATAGTTGAAGCGGGTCTTGAGCTCACTTTGTAGCCAAGGCTGGCCTTGAACTCACAGCAATTCTCCTGCCTCTGCTTCCTGAGTGCTGGGATTGCAGGTGTGTGCTACTGTGGCTGGTTTTCTAAATTCTCAAGTGTCCACACACTCACTGCCCATGTCCTCACACACATTGTATAATGACGCTGTGTATACCTCCAATCAGTGATGCCTCCAATCAGTTCAGGTCTCATAAGAATATAGCAGAGCTGGAAAACTCCTATTGCCTGGTGATATAGCCATTATAGCATCATAGCACTATGCAATATGTGTTTGTGGTGATGTTAGTATAAATAATGCTGTTTCACTGCCAGTCACATAAAAAGAGCATATACAGTTAGATACTTGAGAGTTATAATTAAAGACTATGTTACTGGCTTGTGTATTTATTTTACTGTAATTTCTGTCATTAGAGTGCACTTCTAAATTCTGAAACAAACGTTACTTTGAAACAGCTCACTGTGTTACACAAACATAGCCTGATACCCTCATGTTTATACTATGTCTCTTGCTTGTATCAAGAGGCCGTGTGGAGTTGACTTGGGGGCTGGGGGTGTAGCTCAGCAGTGGAGCATGTGCTCAGCATGTACAAGGCCTTGGTTTGCATCCCCAGCAACCTACCCCCCACGGAAAAAATGCTATGTGAAGTGACATAGCATCGAGGTTTGCATAAGTGTCCTCTTTGGTGTCCCCAGAGGGACAGAATTGCTTAACAGTGAATTTCTCAGAACATTTCCATCATTAAATGATGCATGACTCTAACTGTTAATATTTTTGCCTCCTAATGCCTTCATCTCCACCACTTCCAAGTCTGTTCCTGTTGATTGATTGTTCTCTTGCTTACAGAGCATATTTCTTTCTCTGCACTGAACATTGTGAATTTCATATTGTTAAATGCTGAGTTTTATTATGTTCCTTTAAAGATGAGTAGACTCTTCTGTTATGCAGTTAAGTTACTTGGGATTGCATTTACTTATTTGCTTGTTTGAAGTTTGCTGTCAAGCTCTCTTAAGTTAGGTCCAGAGCAATCAGTATCCTGGAGCTAATTTAGCCATTTTCTTATCAGCTACCTTTCTTCTGACTCTACCCAACCTCTCTGGCCCAGTGTGGCTTTTCTGTTCTGTCCAATGGAAACACAATCTCTTCCCAGCCTTGTTAGGAAGCTTCTGAAATTGGTCAGCACACTGCTTCTCAGTGGTTCTTTTGCTGGCTTCAAGGAGTTTCACTTCACACGTGCCCAGATCATTATTCAGCTAAAAATTTGAGAGGAGCTCTCTGGAGATTGGGGTATTCTGCTCTGAGAATTTTGACCTCAACAACTTCTACTTTTATCTCTTTCTCCTCAACAAAAGCTCTGGGCTCTGTTTGGTTTCCCCTCTCCTTTGCTACATCCTGGAAACTCCCTCAGGGAGTAAATTGGGGTAATCCTGGGCTGAGCTCATTTGTTTTCCTTTCTTCTGGCATTACGGGCTATTCATTGTCTGAAAATAGCTGTTGCTCAATTCATTTTCTACACGAATGCTATCAGACCAATAGCTCTAAAATATAAGTCTGGTATTATTATCTCACTTTTTACATCTCCTAGTGCAAGTCCATTGCCCTGAGAATAAAGTCTGACATCCTTAACCTAGCTTATAAAGCCTATAAGAGTTGGGCTCTTTGGTGGTAAGCAACAGAAACCAACATGTCTAACAAAAGAAAGGGACCATTGGAAGGATATGGAATAACATACAGATTCAAAGGAAAAGCTGAAGCAGAGGCCTCAGAAAGTTAGGAACCAAAGGAACTCAGGGTGTCTAGGAGATAAGAACTCCATCTGGACCTGCTTCCTGGGTCTCTCCACTCTGGAATTAAATGAGGGGCCCAGAAAGTATCTCTCTGGTTGGCTTCATTGGGGACCATATGCCATCCTCTGACCAGTCATTCCTACCAGAGTCCTACATAGCCTACAGTGGAAGAGGAATGGTTTTTGCAAGGGGAAAGAAGATAGGTACTATACAGCACAAATCTCAGCACAAAAGTCTGCTAAACTTTCAGGATCTGGCCCTATCCTGCCTCCCTGAGCCTTGTCTCCCCTGCTGCCGAAGATTCCCACCATCCCTCACAGTGTCACTAACACGTGTCTCCAGGCTTCTCAGGCCTCAGTGCATTTGCACCTGTTAGTTTTACTACCAGAAATCATCTCTCACCTTTGCTTTTAAAAACAAAGCCACCACAACAAACTCAGATACTCCTACTTCTGCTTCAATGCCCTAACCCGCAGGAAGACTTTTTTCACCCTCCTAACCTAGATGTCCATTCTTTTTCCTTCCATAGACCTGTTTGCTTCCCCAGTAACATTATATTACATACACACTGTGGTGATTTATTTCCATGGCCCCTTAATAGACTTGTAGCTTCTCGGGTACAGGGATGGTCTTGCTCATTTTGGTATTTTGCCCAGCACATGAAGAGGCACTTTAATTTCTGATTAATGTAATATATTTTCCTCTGCAGGGCACTCTGCTGGATACGGATGGGCCCCAGCGAACTCTCAACCAGAACTTAGAACTCAGATTTCAATACAGCAAAGATAGTTGCTGGCAGTGGTTTGTCATTTACACCAAACAGGTGAGTTTTCTGGGCAGAGCATGAAAACTTTTTGTGCTGAAATGCCATCTTGTTGGCTGGGGTGGAAAAAATGCATCACCTTAACCCAGGTCGATCAAGGGACTAGTGGAATATATATATATATATATATATATATATATATATATATATATATATATAATTTTTTTCCTTTTTGCTTTGCTTTCTTTATTTCACCAGTCACCAAGACTTTCACATCAGTTAGAAATGACTTTAGTTACTATGTTAGTTTTTGTCACTGTGACAAAATATCTTTGATAACTAGCTAAAAAGAAGGTTCATGGTTTCAGAGGTTTCAGTCCCTGGTTTGTTGGTCCATCCCCTGGGCCTATGGGAGGCTGTATGTCATGGCAGGTAGTGCATGGCAGAGCAAGGTTGTGGACCTCGTAGAGGCTAGAGAGCAACAAAAAGTGAGGAAGGGGATAAAGTTCCAATATACTCTTCAAGGGCACACCCCAGTGAGTGACCTAACTCCCTCCAACTAGGCCCTGCCTCCTGAAGTGTTCACCATGTCCCAGTGACCACGCCTTCAACATGTGAGCTTTTTGGGACATTTAAGATCCAAATGATAATAGTTACCAAGTAATGGAGATTGAACTAACTGGTTTATAATGGGGGGTCAGAAGAATTTTTCCTTAAAGGTCCACATGATTAATATTTTAGGATTTGAGGTCCATTTGGTCTCTGTTGCAACTGCTGTGTTTGGTTAAAAGAAGTCATAGATAATGCATAAACAAATAGGCCTTTTTTTCTAATAAGCTTTTATTTACAAAAACAGTGTGCTAGATTTGTTACTGATCTCTGGTTTAGACAGTACAGGGATATTTTTCAAATAATCCTAAAAGAGGATGATTGAAACCTTTATCATTCCCTTGGCTTTTTCCTGGTGGGTAAAAAGCTCTCTCTCACATTTGGAAAGGAAATGCTTTACCTCAGAAACCTCCAAGTAAAATTTCATTTGTCTCATTGGTCAGAACTGGACCATCCAATCACCCTAGCTGCAAGGGAATCTAGCAAAGAGGAGCAAAATACATGATTGACTTAGAGTTAGCAAGAATCATTGCCTGGGTTGAGCACTTCTTATCCCAAACAAAATCAAGGTCTTTTAGGAAGGAGAAAGCAATGGATCTTGTATAGCTAACTATCCATATTTATTAGGGGCTTATAACTAAAATAGGAATAGAAGTCCTAAAACAATTAATTTTTAAAGTATCAAATCCAATTTTAAAATCTTTTACTGAATTTGAACTACTTCAAATTGGAATCAGAACCACAGGTGTTCTAAAATGGAGCCAAAATTTCATTATATTCAATGTAAGTCCTACTAAATTCTGTGGACCATCCTACTTTAAGGTAACCAAAGCCCTCTTTTAACTCTAATTCTAAAACAGGTGAGGTTACATCATCAAAGTCTTCTGAAAAACAGGAAGTATTAAACTATAATCCTCAGTTAAAGAAATAGTTTTTTAGGTTCACTTTTTGCGGAGTTGGGGGACTTGAGACAAGGTTTTATTATGTAGTTCAGGCTGGCCTTGAACCCACTGTGTAGCCCAGGCTGGCCTCCCACTCATGGTGATCCTCCTGCCTCAACCTCCAGAGTGCTGGGATTACAGTTATGTGCCACCGGGCCCAGCCTAGGTTAACTTTAATTGTTCATTTACTCCTTCCTCAGAATGCAACTAAGTTGTATTATGATTTTTTATATATTTTAAAGGTAGAATGAAAACATATTTAAAAACTTTTATATTTTTTAATCTAAACAGTATAGAATGAGTTTAAACCATGATAGAGACAGGCACAGTAAACATTGTTTTCAAGAATTCCTAGTAAGATCTTATTTCCTTTGGAATGTTTCACTGATGTACACCAATGGGCTACTTTTGCAAAATGCAGAAATATGACTTGTATGCCTTCCAAATACAAGTGAAAGTTTGGGCCAAAATCTTTTCCTATGCTCTTTTTTCTTTCTTTCTTTCTTCTTTTTTTTTGCTGTAAGTACCAGGAATTGAACTCAGGACCTTGCACTTGCCAGGCACTGTGCCACTGAGCTATGTCCCTGGTCCCTCCTATGCTTTTTTAAACAAAAGCTCAGTTTATATTCAGTAAACCTGACCTGGCTTATAGCAGTGGTGTATTTTTGTGTTTGTTTGTATACACAGTAGAAGGAAAGGGAATCATTCTGCATTTTGAGGTGCACACTATTAAGTATCTTTTCCTAGCTGCATCACCTTGTGTTCATTGGTTAAACTACTTCATACTCTGGTTTTGTGTAGGTTACACATATGTGCAGATATATATTCCTACCAATGCTAGGAAGTCAAACTCTAGGTCATATATCATGTATAGAGAAAGTCAACCTTTAGAATTCAAGCCATTTTTCCAGGGAAAAGTCATCTTTTGGATTACTGAGAACTCTTTTCTTATTTGGTAACTGCTTTTCCTCTCTCCCCTCCTTTCTTTCTAAGTAAATTTCATTCCTGTCATGCTCTACGCCCCTGAAAGAGGGCAAGATGTTACTTCAGTGTCAACCATTCACCCTCTAATTCTGCTAAGTGCCTTCTGAGAGATTTTCACTTTGTCCACTGACCTGGCCTGGGTTTCTCGCTCTCGCCCACTCCTCCTCCACCGTCTACTCAGTAGAGACCATCCATGAACACCGTCCTATACTAAAGTCCTAGCGCCTCAGGCCTGGAGCTTTAGTTGGCTCAAACCTCAGGAGGATCAAAAGAGAAAATAGCAAGGCAAGAAATAAGCACAGGACCAGAAAGATAAAGGATTAGTGGGAGAAGAGCAAATGGGAAAATCATAGGGCACCTTCAAATTGGTACATCAGGGTGCAGACCCTGAAGCAAGGCAGCCCCCATCTCTGTGTAGCAAGATATGCTAATGTGAGTGTCTTGGCACTAGCAAGGATGATGAAGCCACCAACTGTACCGGAGGCAACTCTCCACGCTGCTAGTCAGCGATTAAATGTATGGAAAAAGTAACAAATGAAGAAAACAACTAATTTCTAAAATTTCAGTAAAAGCAATAATATGTTAATATATTCTTTCAGACAGGTTACTATTTATAATACTGATAGTAATAACTCCTTCAATAATTATGTATATAATTACAGGATTCATCATCAGTTTATTTGATTATAATAAGTACTTCATATTTCTTATTGCTCATAAAACATGATCTGTTTATAAACTAATAAACACAGCATACAAGTGGGGAGTTTTTTTGGTTTGTTTGTTTTTTCTCCGGTACCGGGAACCGAACTCACGACCTTGCGCTTGCCAGGCAGGCGCTTTGCCGCTGAGCTAAATCCCCAGCCCCAAGTGGGGAGTTTTAAAGAGAAAAAGATTTGGAATGAGATTCTGGCCATTTTTTTAATCTGCCTTTAAATTTTATTGTAAATATATCCATGTAGTTGAGAAAATTTATGTTTATGTGCTGTGAATTTTATGCAAATTTCTGGAAGTTAAAGAAGAAATCTAAACTCTTATCAGCATGCTATTGTGTTTCAAGCAGAGTTCAGAGTCTGCTCTGTGGCATGCGGGAAGAAAGAGAAGAAAACCTCTTGAGTGCAGAGTATTCTTTATTTCTGGATTTCTTAGGCATTTTTGCTGAGTAGCTGCTTGAAAAAGATGATCTCAGAGAAGACGGCAAAGCTAGCTGCCGAGAGTCCAGAAATGGTAAGCGCTCCTATCTGTGTGCATTGCCCCTTTGAGTCCCCGCCGTGAGCAACACTTGAAGACCAAACTCCCCCTCAGAATCCTGGGCGGGCAGTTCTGTCCTCAGAGAGGAATCCACGCCACACAAAATGAGCTCCTCAGGCCCGGAGAAAGTCGACCTTTAGAATTCAAGCCATTTTTCCAGGCAAAAGTCATCTTTTGGATTACTGAGAACTCTGTCACTTTCTAGTAGATACTGTTTTATTTTAGCCTCTTCCTAAATGGAAGCTTTTAGATTTAGTGTAAAATCTTCATGACAAAGTCAGGATCTTTAACACAGTAGAGAGGATCTTAAATAAGCTCTGGTTTTCTCTAGAAAGAATCCACAGCCTTCTGATACTTCCGGTGTACAAATAGAAAGCCTTTGGCTAATGGAAGAAGCCAGAGAGTGGAAGAAACACTCTAGTCTTTCTTTCTCAGTGTAAACTTTATTTTTCTACACTATTTATTCGTTGGAGGCCCAGTTACTGGAGGCTCACTGAAAGAGTTGGTGGGCAGGCTGTAAAGCCCAAAATCACTGAGATTTCCAACTTTTCTAATTACCTTGACCTCATCATGACATAAGCATGTCCCAGGTAAGACAGTACAGCTCCATTTTAAAAAAATGATTACAAATACTAATGCCTGGTTGACATTTTTAAACTTAATTATTTAAGATTACACTAACCTTTAAAAATGCAACCGAAAATTATCAGAAACTTCCCTAATGTTTTTATTTAAATTTAGTCCTTTATAAGAGGAGAGATAATATCTTCAGCTTCATCTTAATCTTTTCTTGACTTTACAGGGTTTTTTCTAAGAAAATAATTGTGTGTACTTATTCTTTTTCTTCTAGAACTGAAATATCTTTCCAGGGAAAATAAATGCACTGCCTCCTGTGACTGAACAATTCAAAATGTTCTGGACTGTAGTAAATGAAGCAGGCTCTTTTTTAAAGGAGTCACGAAATCCAATCTCTTAGGCAGAGTGAACCCTCTTAGGCTTTGATTACTATATATATATAAAAGAAGAAAGAGAAAAGTAATTAACTGAAGTGGCCTCATTAAATGAAGAAGTGCCCTCAAATGTGGATGGGTAAAGCGTAAGCCACTTGATGCAGGAAATACTTGGACAGTGAATAGCTAAAGAGTTAGCTCAATAAAATGGAGAAGGTAATAATCTATTTAAGGTTCTTAAGGAAAAGAATCATGCTACAGTCCCTAGATTGCGCATGAATTGACGTCTACCATTTACCACTGTGACTAATAGACAATCAGCGTATTAGTCAACACTTTTGTAATGCTTCATCCAAATAGTCATCAAGCTTTATTTCCACAAACTGTTTCTTTGCTTACTTGGGTTCTTGGAAAGAAAAGTTAAGACTCTTCCTCTTGAAAATTGGGTTTTCAAAGCACGTTGAGGAGGTAGTCTGTCTGCATGTCAATCTGGAACTTTGTCTACAAAAACCTAAGGAGGACAGAATCCCGGAAGGCAAAACACAGCACAGAGACAGATGAGCCATTTAACCTCAGCCTACAAAGGACAGGGGACTAAAGCCATTTTTTGTTGTTGTTTTTTGAGACAGGGTCTGGTTGTGTAGTTCAGGCTGGCCTTGAACTCACTATGTAGCCCAGGCTGGCCTTGAACTTGTGGCAGTCCTTCTGCCTCAGCCTTGCAAGTGCTGGGATTACAGGCTTGTGCCACCACACCCGGCAGGCCTCAAGGCCTATAATGTATTGACCAAGAAGCTATTTGTAGAAGGTCTATTTGGACCAGGACCCAGACATCTCTGAGAAGCAGATTCTGCATCCAACATTTTGATAATCTTAAACAATCTGAGTTAGGGAGAGAAACTGAGCAAAACTATAACTAAATGGCCCTATAAATAAAGTAGATGGTCCCCAGCAGCAGATTAAATAGTACTGGGTTTTCCTGTTAACGTGGAACAAAGGGAAGAAGAAATTTAGTGTTAACTGGAAATTAATTGGCCTAGTTAGCTTTAGACGGTGCTTTCAAAGGTAAGATTTGAATTGTTTATGAAGTCACTAGAATTTGAGTAACACAAATGCAGTAAAGAATGCTGTAAGCCCACAACACAAAATTTCTTGTTAAATACTTAAAGGCAAAATTAACCACACACAAGATGAGAAGGGGAATGTAACATTTTTCTTAAAGCTATGTTCCCATAGAAAAGCTGAAATATTTTGTTAATATTTGCTGCCTTTAATTAGAGCAAAATTATTTAAAAATGTTTTGCTTGAAAATAAAACTCATTAGTCAGGGTTAGCTTTAGTTACATAGGACAGAAAATAAGACAAAGCACATGTCTTGGGCATACACAGATGACAGCAGTTACAGAATGGCCCAAGTACACAGCGGATGGAGTTTCAGAGCCAGGGGGAAGTGATGGTGCAGGAGTAAGTGACCACAGTAATAGAAACCACTCTTAAGAAAAAAGAAAGTGCAGGAGAACCATGCTAGGAAACCAGGTTTCACTTTTTCCAACTTTATTCTCCTTGCTGCATACAGCACTTAAAGACTTCCTACGGTAGGTCAAGCACACTGATTGCATGAGATCACTTCGCATTTATAGTGGGTTGGACTTTATTTATTATTACATAGGGAAAATAAGAGAAAGAAAAATTGTAAGACTTTTCCCCCGAGTTCTGTATTTCATTGCACCTGACCATAAACCAAAATGCAATATTGTAAAACAATAAAAAATAATAGTGAAACATGGCATCAGAGAATTAACATCACACTTACCAAGACTTAGCTGGCTTTTTACATTATTGAAATACAGGATTCGAATATATATATATGACCGACCGCTTTTATTTAAAATACTAAACTAGCGAGATTCCTGAGTGCTGTATATTCCCTTAATGCAATTTATTTTGCAGCAAAATTAAGTTAAACCCTAATCAAAGGATAATGCTCACTTGTAGTGTCGTGTCATTTGTTCCATTTATTATGAAATGCCCCACTGTCTACTTTTATGAGTAGCAAGCCCTATTCGGCAGCCTGATCAATTCGCCCTACATCGTGTCATTTATGAAGCCTGTATTTGCCATGTGGTGGCTACAAACCCAAGATCCAGCACAATCAAGGAGGAGAAAGGCAGTTAAGACAGAGACATTTATGACCCTCGTGTGTTGTGTCCGGGGCCTTGTTGGAACTACGCACAGAACGCAGAGTTGTTTAATGGGCCTTTTCCCTGAGGAAGTGTCAAAGTGCTGTGTCCCCAACCCTTGCTAGGTCGTGCTTACTAGGTGTACCAGACACCTCTCCCCACCCTGCTCGGTGCCCCGTGGACCAAGCCCTGTGTGCTGTGACCTTGCTTTCCTTGGGGTCACCCCGTGGGAATCCCAGCAGAAGGCTGGGAGGAACGAGCTCGGGTACCGTTTCTCCAGCTCTGGCCCTCCTGGGACTCTGGTTTCACCTCCTGTACTGAAGGCTGTGGCTCCGTCACACAACCCTCAGCCACGGTTGCTCTGGTTCCTCTCACCTGTCCCTCTCACCCCTGCAGGCCTGGAGGTGGCAGAACCCCCCCCATTGTAGCCCCTGGGGGCCCAGCGTCCCCTGTGGATTTGCTTTAATCCTGCTCGACCCTGCATTAAACGCTAGTTCAACAGTGCTCTTTAAAAACTCCTCTCACTTACCCAGGAATGTACATCCTTTCCCCACCGGCGATGGGAACGTTACTCTTACCTTGCTTGCGGGAGGTGTAGTCAGGTTGGATTCTTCATTTGATTAATGGTGCCTTTCGATGAAGCCAAGCCCCACTTGGCTTTGATTCAGCAAACAGACTGGAGCTCGGATTATCTGGACGTTTAGCACTACTGTGCATTTGCGTGTGAAGGCCTTTGAAAGGCTGTGTTCAACCACGAAATGCATAGGCAGCCCCCAGTGTAAAGCACAAAGCTTTGCTTCACTTTTAGGGATGCCAGTCCGTAACACACAGACCAGGGCGCAGACAGGGAGTGGGAGGAGTCGGGGAGCCCTGACCCTGACCACGATCACCGCGGAGGTGGAAGTGTGCTGGTTACAGGACGGCCTGTGCGCTGGCTTCGCGGGGTGGTGCTGACTGACATTTTACTAATCTATTTAGCAGATTGAAGTTCCAGAAAGAAGCAAAAGTAAAAAAGACCACGTTCGACAAAGCAAGGTCTGTGAGTAAAGTTATGTAATTGATGTATTACAGTTCGGATAAATCTGCCCCCTTTGCCCCTTTAACCAAAGCCTTTCGGTTTCCAAGAATAAGCTGGAATTCTGCGGTTGGGCCAATTTTGGAGATGGCACAGAAGTATTGTTATATCCAGCAAGGCTGAGGGCCTGGAAGTTCACTTCCTTTCACTTCCCTTTCCTCCCCTCTCCTCCTCTCCCTTTCTCTTTCCCTTTCCCTTGGTCCTGTCCTCCTCCTCTTCCTCCTCTTCTTCCTCCTCCTCCTCCTTCTCCTTCTCTCTCTCTCTCTCTCTCTCTCTCTCTCTCTCTCTCTCTCTGTGTCAGATTGAACTCAGGGCACTTACACTGAGCTACATCCCCATACCTTTTGCTTTTATCTATTATTACTTTTTAAAATTTTGAGACATGGTTTTGCTAAGTTGTCCAGGCTGGACTTGAACTTGTAATCCTCCTGCCTCAGCCTCCCAGAGTCTGGAAGGACAGGTGTATACCGCCACACCTGGGCATTTTTATGTCAAAAGTTTCCAAGAGGAACACAAAATTTTTTGGTGATTTTCTTCTGCATTGGTGCATTTTTTAAACTCTTCTTTCTAGTTTGAACATTTTAGGATATCTAATGTTGTAGTTTCATGAGTGTTTGACAGTGCAATATACTTGCTATAAAGTAATGTCGAAGTTTATAAAATGTTCTTTTGAGCACTGAGTTCTGCTGTGCAGATAATAAATGTGGAAAACCCCAGGTAACAGGCTGGAGCCCTCATTGGTGCTGGGAGTGTTCTAAGCACTTGTATGTGAATTAACACACTTGCCCTCTCCATGGTCCTCTAAATCCACTGAGGGAAGCAGGGCACAGAGAGGTTAAGGCACTTGCCCAAGGCTGAACAGTAATCAGTGTTGGAAGGAAGTAGGCAATCTGAGCCTGGACTGTGCTCTTTGCTACCTGACTCTTTCTTCCTATGTCCAAATTCTAGTGTAGCTGAATTAAGTAAAGATGACCCCTAAGTAGCATTTGAATGGTTTATTGTGGACCTCATGCCTCACACAGGGCCTGGCGTGTAGACAGCGTGCCCTCCTGTGGAAGTCTGTGTTTATAAATATGTAACTACGTAGGGTCCTTTGCTTGAGTGAGCGAGATCAGGAAACAGGACAGCATCAGTGCAAAGCTCTGTTTTGTAACACTGACGTTTCGGACTGGCTAGGTCAGAGAGTAGAGGCGGACAGTCCACGGGTACTGGCTGTGTGTTTCCAGGCAGACTAAAACCTTACTGTGCATCAGGGGCTGCTGGAGCACTTTTTAATTTTTTTAATTAGCACATTTTTTAATTAGCACATTTTGCTAATTAAAATTAGCAAATTTTAAAATTTTAAAATTTGCTAATTAAAATTAGCGTGATTATGCTCACGCTGAGGGGTTGGTGCACGCGCACAGCACGTTTTAATTCCTTTTTCCCCATCCCCTATACCTCCCTTCCTGTCTCTCTCCATCTCTTGGTCTTCTTCCCATTTGCAAAAGATCTATCTCACTGTTTCCTGCTACCTTTTATTTTGTCCTTTATTTATATTTTGGGTTTCTCATAGAAGAGAAACAATATGATTTTTAAGCATTATGTGTCTGAATTATTTCACTTAACCTTATGGTCTCAAAATACATCCATTTTCCTACAAATGAGTCAAGGTTATCCATCTTTACTGCAGAGTAGTACTCCACTGCACATAAATGCATTTTCTTTACCCATTTGTCTGTTGATGGACAGATGATGTATGTGGCCCTGGACCAGGTAGGTCAGCAACACTTGAGGACTTAGTAAACCTTCAAATCTAAGGTCCCCCAACCTACTGCAGGAACCCAGCAATCTGTGCTCACTGAGGCCTCCAAATGAGCAGGGTGCAGAGTCAGGGTGAGAGCCACTATCCCCCCAAACAGACACGCACACAGCACAACCGTGACGTCACTGTCGCTGATTTCAGTGGCTTTTCAGACAGCAGCCTTCCGATGTCTGGGCAGGCTGGTCTGAGAGAGGAGGTCCGCACCACCCATGCTGGGTTCCAGAGCATCTAGCAAAACTCGCACTGGGCTCAGGGCAGCAGCACAGCCAAACTGGCATGGTCAGAATCCCCGCGTGCAGTCATCCCCCTCGCCCCGCTCGCCCCAAGGATGCTGCTCCTGTGGGTGCTCAAGTCCCTTAAATCAAACAAGGTGGGAGTATTTGCATATAACCCGCGCACACCCTCCATGTACTTTAAATTATCTCTGTGTATTAACATCTCCTGGAGCACATGCGCTGTGTCGGTAGGTGTCACCCTGAATTGTTTCAGGAATAACAAGGAAGAGTCTACCTGTTCAGGACAGATGCAATTTAAAAATATATTTTCCATCAGTGGTTGGTCCCATGTGTAGATGCAGAACCTGTGACATGGCCAGGTGGCTACTCGTCTCATGTAATCCTCCTAACAACCCAGTTATTGTTTCCAGCGTTGGTTTTGGGCCTAAGGATTGAAACAGAAGAGTTACGTAACTTGCTCCTTGCCACACAGAGGGGCCAGTATCTGAATCCCAGCTGTCTTTATCGTTGACAAATAAATAAAAATTTCTTTGTTAACCCTCTTGCCATAGGGATTTTCTATCAAGAAAAATCTTTCACAGAAGAAATATTCAGCCTGTCTGCCTGGCGAGGTGCCCACATTCTTTTTAAATATGGATACCTATCCCCAAAATGAAGCTTTCAAAATAACCATTTCAAGTAAAAGTATTCAAAGTAGCCATTGCTGAAACAGGTGCTCCCTTTCTGCTGTCCTTTTAATATGAGTTGAACCTCCTTGAAGTTTCCGTGATTGTTCTTATGGAAATCATTTCCTCTCACTTACATTTCTGACCTTTCTGTTTCCTTCCCAGCAAAAAGAGTATTCTAGTTTTCTATCAAGAAAAAGCAAGATTAACAGAGCTGAAGGTGACTGTGTTTTTGGAACCATAAAGGAAGAAGATCTTTGAAGAGAAGGCTCACCTGTAACGTCCCCTAATCCATCTCAGGACGGTGACAGCGTGGGGGCTGGAGCTGGGCTTCCCACCACCAGGTTCCTGACTTCCGCCTCCTACGCCTTCTGACATTAAGATAGACTGTACTCATCAAGATTCCTGTGGCTCTCTATGTAAATTTCCAGATTAAAAAGATATAAGGACTAACATTATAGAATTTGTTTTTAATGGCTCATAAATCACAAGTGGCAGATTCAAATCAACTAATATTAAATTCACTCTCTTCCCCCACCAAAATAGATGCTCACCTGGCTTCGTGAAGTCTTTTGTGTGTTCTGGTAGTACATAAATGAAAGTCTTCTTCCAAAATGGGGTCGATGCCTTTGGAATCAGGTTCTAAAGAGGCGATTTGTCAGCTGAGGGAAATTGGGCTCTGTCTAGGAAGCGAAATTGCTGGAGAAGAAACCCAGACCTCTGTGACCTATCGCAGAGCTTTCACAAGGAGGGGGTGCGATGCTGGCTTATTTCCTCACCCAGTTCCGGAGGTACCAACATGGGTGACCTCGGGCTGGACGCCGCCGGTCCTGTGTTCCTTCGCTGGTCCGACTGTGTTGCACCCTTAGAATACTGAATCCCATTCAGTGGTCACCTTGCTGTGTTGAATGTTTTTATTTTGGAAAGCAGTAAGATTACGCACTTGGCCTCTTCACTTTAAAAATGTGTATATTTTATCACTATGTTTTTCTTTATCCAGTTCTATTATTTTATGGTAATTAATATAATTATTATAGAATTGTGTATAATTACCACATATTGTGAATACTTATGACAATACAGAAGAGGGACAGAGGAATCTAATGTACTTAGAAAAAACTACAATATCTTAATGTTCTTTCCTGACTTGCATAATGATATGTGTAGTAAATATGAAATACATTCTATTGACTCTAGGATTTATGGATGAAGAATCTGTGGATGATCTTTGGGAATATGGAACCCACTAGAACCTTATAAAATCTGTAAATCAGTGCCTAAGCCTAACTTTCAGCACCTTAAAGTTTTATATTTATACTTTAGGTTGTAGTAAGATTTTTGCAGGACAATTCATGGACACCCCAGATAATCCTTAGTTAGTGTATTAATGGATTAGTATCATTTCAGATTAAAATGGAAGCTTATTTACTATTTTGCCAATTTAAGACTAAGGCCTATATTTTGTTTTTTGAGATAGTGTCTCACTATGTTGTCCAGGCTAGCCTCAAACTTGTAGCAAACCTTCTGCCTCAGCCTCCTGAGTGCTGGGATTATAGACGTGCTCCACAGGTTTCTGTTCTTAGTAGAAAGCACATCTACAGTATAAGGTGCTGTCATCGAAATTAGGAATGCAGAGAGAATTTGTATGGGGGTAAGAAGATGTATAGAAGAGTTGAACCACATGTGAATGCAGTCTTTGTAGGTAAAAAACATTTCATTTCACCTTGACATATGATGGTGAGGAGCCATAGACAGTGTGTAGTTGGTGTCAGAAGTGTAGTGTGGGTCTGTGTGTCAAAGCTTCAAAGGGAAGAGAGACTTAGAAGAAAATAGAGATGGGCAAGAGGGATGGGTAGCCCAGATGGAAGCAAGAATGGTGTTTAGGGAGCTTCAAGCAGGCCTCCTCTGTGCCAGTGAAGGTTGGGGTACAGTGAGCAGCTAGGAGGTAAAATTAAGAGATAAGATGGACGGGGTCTACTTGCTCAATAATGTGAGTGCAGCAGTTTAGCCCTTGTTTCAGAATGACAAGACCAAAAGCATTGTATTCAGTTATTTTTTCTCAAAGCATTGAGATTATGATCAATACCAGAACAGGAGAAGAAAAATACAAGTGTTGACATGCACTCTACAGTCTGTACCACAAGGAGTGAAAAAACCCAGGAGAGCAGGAAGTAAGATCCCAAACTTAATGTGTAAAATGACATATGCCTTGAAAATATGTGACAGCAGGAGGGGCTACTGTGTTCATCGCTTCAGGGATTCCTGGTCCTGTTTTTATCCAGACGCAGTTTGGGAGTGTGAATCACTTCGGGATCAAAACACTTGATCATTGGGTAAAGGGTCTGAACTACCACTGCAAGGGTGGCCTTCTTTGCCACGGACCTGGGAGAGATGGCGAGAGAGACCTTCACCAGCCCCAAAGGTGAGAGGTGCCCTTCCACAACGCAGCCAGCCCAGTGTAGCAGAAGACATCTGCCAGCCAGTCTTTAGGCCCCAGTTGATGGGCTCTGGTAGCTGCAGGGCTGTGGCCTGGCTTCGGAAGTAACGAGCCCACTGATTTGTCTAGAGATCTCCTCAAATGCAGAGGGTTCTCGTATACAGTGTGTCTGTGGGTTTTGGATCTATGGATTCAACCAGCTGTGGATCAAGAGTGAAGCTGGGCCTGCGATGACTGTCTGTTCTGAACGTGACGACTTTGCTGCTCCTCATCATGTGTTTAGCAATCCGGGATGACAACCATTTGCCTAGTGTTTCCGTTGTATTAGGTAACGTAAGTAACCTAGAGACGATTTAGAGGATGTGGGGAGGCTGAAGTTCGGTAACCACACAGGGTCCTGGAACCGGTGCCCTGCAGACACTGACAGACACCTGCACCTGCAGATACGGTCCCCAGGCGGCCGTAGCTTCTCCTGATGCACCACATTCACCAGCATCCCTTCTAGAGCCTAGACAGGCATATGTTTTCACCGCTGTTTATATTCTGAAATAACGAACAGAAACACTTTGCCCACAGACAGGCACACCTGAGTTTGAAGACTGCACAGAAATCAGAATAAGGACAGAAGAGGAGAAAGCTGCTTAAACTGTGGTCAGGCCTGCTGTCCGAGCCCGTGGCTCCCAGGGAGGGGAGCAGGCTTAGCTTTGGTTTGCGGAGCTTACAGAGCTCATGTCCTCCTCGGGCTGGGTGTCCATCCAGGTCAGCGTGTAGTGACCTTACGGCTGGCGCACACCCGCTTGTGGACAGCTAAGCACATTTTATGTTAAACATTTGAGTTAGAAATGACCTTAAGATCACCCCAAAGCAAAGCTGCGAGGAGCTCAGTGATCTTGCTTTGTGGAAAAGCAAACAGATGCCAAGCTTCGGAGAGAAAACAGTGACCGAAATGATCTTAAAACACAAAGCACAAGAAAACCAAGAAGAAGGCTCAGCGACCCTGGAGAGGCGACCCTGGGGGCCCAGAACTGTGGGAGATGGTACACAGAGTCCCTCATTTCTTCCCGGGGTGGTCTTGTAACCAGCGATCCAAGAAAAGTGCCAAAAAACAGGTAAATTATGCTGTCACAAAAAAATAACGTGTGGAGTTGGAAAAAGTATGACTAACCAATTATTCCTTAGAAGATAGCTTTTAAGGCCTTGTCATTGTCCTCTTCACCCACTGTATTGAGGCATAATTATACTTTGCTTTTAAGTTGCTTTTAATAGCTAATAGTTATATTCTCATGAAGTCAGTCCTTTGTCTAACGATGTTCCAGATAAGCTACAGAAAAGCGCATGATGTCACTGGTAGGTGAGCCTCGGTTTAGCGCTCGCTCAGGAGGGCCAAGCCTTTAGCTCCCTAGATGGGCTTCACCTGGTGATGCCCTACAGGGCTTAGTCATTCAGTTGATTTAGTGGTGCAGACCTGAGTGATTCTGCACTGCTTCTGCCACAAATGAATGCGGCTTCTTCCCAGAAATGTGGGAACACAGGGTTGGCTAGACTTCCTAATGGGTTTTCCGTCTGTCAACACGCGTGTGTAGCTGGTGAGGGTGGGGTGGCAGCAGTTGTGTGGGTGGAGGCCCGTGGAACGGCAAGCTGAAGTGGTGTGAGCAGCTTTGCTGTGAGCATGCAGGCTCGTGTGTGTGCATGTGTGAGTATGTGCGCATGTGTGCTTGTGCTGGGAACCAAACCCAGCGCCTTCACACTGAGCTACATTCTCAGCCCTTTTAAAGTTTTTTATTTTGAAACAGCGTCTCAGTAAGTCACTAAGTTGCCCAGGCTGGGCTCGAATTTGCAGTCTGAATGTCTCAGCCTGCCAGAGGGCTGGGAAGGTGACTCGTATTCTTGCCAGAAGTGGGTCCCGGTAGACTTTCTGGGGAGCTCCCTTTTGTAAGGGGTCTGATGGCAGAGGGAGAGGTAATGGAAATCAACTGTATCTTGGTCCCAATCAAAGGAAGCTCAGAATTTGACATTCCACAGATGTTAAATGTAGACTAAAAGAAGCAAAGTGACAATTATTAAGTTTGTTACATATATTGTGAAAGTCAGCTGCCCAGAGATAAATTCTTTTTTTTTTTTTAATTTTAAAGAGAATTTAAAAACCCCAATCAAACAATATAGAACTTCAAAATAAAATGACAGGAAATTAACAATGGTTGTTATATTGCATATTGTTATCTTCGAAGTAGTTGCTCAGATTACCAGATATAGGCATGCAAAATTGCTTAAACAATGAAGCATTAACTGTCTGGAGACAAATTCTTTTAAACATCAGTGATCATGTTGATCCAGACACCGCCTCGCCATCGCAGGCGGAGCACCTTGCAGGGGCGGATTTGCCAACAAGGGCACCCACTGAGCCCCACGGGAGAGCAATTCCACTCCCCGTGGCTTCTATACCAGTGCATAAAGGGAAGCAAGTATGATTATAAATCAAGCTTATTATTGTACATCAGCTGAACACGTATCACAGCGGTTAAACTTCAGATTGGTACAAGTAACTGCATTTATGTCATTATGTCCTACTAGGATTAGTTACTCTTCTTACTGCCTACGGCTCTAATGTGTCATAGATGTTCTTTTTTTTTTTTTTGGTCTTTTTGAGACAGGGTCTCGCTATGCAGTTCAGGCTGGCCTTGAGCTCACTTTGTAGCCCAGGCTGGCCTCGAACTCACAACGATCCTCCTGCCTCAGCCTTCCTAGTGCTGGGATTACAGGCGTGTGCCACCATGCCCGGTTTATAGATACTCTTGATCCTCTCTTCATCCTTTTTCTCTGTCTGTAAAAATCAAAAGAGAGGCGATATGCAGCCTGGGGTTTCCCAGTGCAGATACACTAAGGAGATCTTCAGCAGTGAATTCACAGTAGGAAAATCCTAAACCAGAGTGCTCTGTTGCAAACACCCTTACCTGAGACTTTTCGAACAAATCTAGTGGATAATTAGCAAAACGAAAGCACAAAAGACGACTGTCTCAGTCT